TCCCCATCGTCAAGCAGATCGATACCGTTGCGGCCGAGTTCCCGTCGGTGACCAACTACCTGTACCTCACCTACAACGCTTCGGAGCATGATGTGGCGTTCAACGATAACGGGATCATGGTGCTGGGCTCGGGTGTCTACCGTATTGGATCTTCGGTCGAGTTCGACTGGTGCTCCGTGCGCACGATCCGCACTCTGCGTGAACAGGGCCACAAGACGGTCATGGTCAACTACAACCCCGAGACTGTGAGTACCGACTATGACGAGGCCGATCGCCTGTACTTCGAGAACATCAACCTGGAGACTGTCCTCGACATCTACCAGCTCGAAGCCTCGAGCGGCGTGATCATGTCCATGGGTGGTCAGACGCCCAACAACATCGCGCTGCCCCTGCATCGCCTCAACGTCCACATTCTCGGTACCTCCCCGGAGATGATCGACGGTGCCGAGAACCGGTACAAGTTCTCGCGTATGCTGGACCGGATTGGCGTGGACCAGCCGTCCTGGAAGGAGCTGACCAGCATTGAGGAGGCCACCGGCTTCTGCAACAAGGTCGGCTACCCCGTCCTGGTCCGTCCCTCGTACGTGCTCTCGGGAGCGGCCATGAACACCGTCTACTCCGAGCACGATCTGGCCAACTACCTGAACCAGGCGGCCGACGTGTCCCGGGATCACCCCGTGGTCATCACCAAGTACATCGAGAATGCCAAGGAGATTGAGATGGACGCTGTGGCCCGCAACGGTGTCATGGTCGGACACTTCATCTCCGAGCACGTCGAGAACGCTGGTGTCCACTCCGGTGACGCCACCCTGATCCTGCCCCCGCAGGACTTGGATCCCGAGACGGTGCGCCGCATCGAGGAGGCTACCAGCAAGATCGGAAACGCGCTGAACGTGACTGGCCCCTTCAACATCCAGTTCATTGCCAAGGACAACGACATCAAGGTCATCGAGTGCAACGTCCGTGCTTCTCGGTCGTTCCCCTTCGTCTCGAAGGTTATGGGTGTTGATCTGATCGAGATGGCCACCAAGGCCATGATCGGCGCGCCGTTCACCGAGTACCCGCCCGTCAGCATCCCCAAGGACTACGTCGGTGTGAAGGTGCCTCAGTTCTCCTTCTCCCGTCTGTCCGGTGCGGATCCCGTTTTGGGTGTGGAGATGGCGTCCACGGGTGAAGTGGCGTCGTTCGGTCGCGACAAGTACGAGGCGTATCTCAAGGCCCTCCTGTCGACCGGCTTCCGCCTGCCCAAGGCCAAGGTCCTGTTCTCCATCGGTTCCTACAAGGAGAAGTTGGAGATGCTGCCGTCCATCCGAAAGCTGCACCAGATTGGTTACTGCCTGTTCGCCACCGCGGGTACCGCCGATTTCTTGAAGGAGAACGGCGTCCCGGTCAAGTACCTGGAGGTGCTCGCGGGCCAGGAGGACGACATCAAGTCGGAGTACTCGTTGACTCAGCACTTGTCCAACAATCTGATCGATCTCTACATCAACCTGCCCTCGAGCAACCGCTTCCGGCGCCCGGCCAACTACATGTCCAAGGGTTACCGCACTCGCCGTATGGCCGTCGACTACCAGACGCCCCTGGTGACGAACGTCAAGAACGCGAAGATCCTGATCGAAGCCATCGCCCGCAACTACTCGCTCAACGTGCAGACCATCGACTATCAGACTAGCCACCGGACCATCATCCTCCCGGGCCTGGTCAACGTCGCCGCCTTCGTGCCCGACCTCGTGACCCCGAGCTCGCCCGACTTCGAGCGGGTGACCAAGGCCTCGATCGCGGCCGGCTTCAGCATGATCCGTGTCATGCCCGTTGGCGTTGACGCCTCGATCACCGATGCGCGGTCGTTGAAGGTTGCCCAGCAGACTGCCCAGAAGTCTTCGTTCTGCGACTTCAACTTCTCGGTTGTGGCCACCTCGACCAACTCGGAGCAGATCGGCCAGGTGACCGGCGACGTGGGTTCCCTGTTCATCCCCTTCAACCACCTGTCCGGGAACATCAGCAAGGTCGCGGCGGTCACGAGCCACTTCGGCGCCTGGCCCTCGAGCAAGCCCATCATCACCGACGCCAAGTCCACCGACCTGGCCTCGGTGCTGCTGCTGGCCAGCCTCCACAGCCGCAACATCCACGTGATGAGCGTGACGTCCAAGGAGGACATCCACCTGATTGCGCTGAGCAAGGAGAAGGGCCTCCGGGTGACGTGCGACGTGTCGATCTTCTGCCTGTTCTTCTCCCGCGACGACTACCCGCTGTGCAGCTTCCTGCCGTCGGCCGAGGACCAGAAGGCTCTGTGGGAGCATCTGGCGACCATCGACGTCTTCTCCGTCAGCAGCGTTCCCTTCCAGCTCGCCGGTGAGAAGGCTTCTCCCGTGGCCGGCATTGCCGAGTCTCTGCCTCTGCTGTTCACCGCCGTGGCGGAGGGTCGCCTGACGGTCGACGACATCGTGGCGCGTCTCTACGAGAACCCCAAGAAGATCTTCGAGCTGCACGACCAGGCGGACAGCTCCGTCGAGATTGAGGTCGACCGCCCGTACCAGTACCAGTCGGCGGATTGGTCTCCTCTCAACGGCAAGAGCGTGCACGGCTCCGTGCAGCGTGTGATCTTCCAGGGCAAGACGGTCTGCCTGGATGGCGTGGTCTCCCCCGACGCTCCCAAGGGTGCCGACATGTCCGGCCACCGGATCCCGCCGGCGTCCCCCTCTGTCAAAGCTATGTCTCCTATGGTGCATGGCCGCACGGAGCCGTTTGACCGCCGCGGCTCGGTCTCGGGCACTCCCGGCCGGCAGTTGCGCAAGGGGCTGGACCAGGGCATTCCCGCCACCAGCGAGCTCGGACCGCCTCTCTACAACGTCCCGCACGTTGCGTCGCAGCTGACGCAGATCCTGGCGCGTTCGCCGTTCAAGCAGAAGCACGTGCTGTCCGTCAACCAGTTCAACCGGTCGGACCTGCACCTGCTCTTCACCGTCGCGCAGGAGATGCGCCTCGGTGTGCAGCGGGAGGGTGTGCTCGATGTGCTGAAGGGTCGCGTCCTGTGCACGCTCTTCTACGAGCCGTCCACGCGGACGTCGGCGTCGTTCGACGCTGCCATGCAGCGTCTGGGCGGCCGGACCGTGGCCATCGCGACGCAGCACTCGTCCACCCAGAAGGGTGAGACGCTGCAGGACACGATCCGCACGCTCGGCTGCTACGCGGACGCCGTGGTCCTGCGCCACCCGCTGCCGACCAGCATGGAGACCGCGGCGCAATTCTCGCCCGTGCCGATCATCAACGGCGGCAACGGCAGCGTGGAGCACCCCACGCAGGCGTTCCTCGACCTCTTCACGATCCGCGAAGAGCTGGGCACGGTGACGGGGCTGACGATCACATTCACGGGCGACCTGCGGTACGGCCGGACGGTGCACTCGCTGATCAAGCTGCTGCAGTTCTACGACGTGCGCGTGCAGCTGGTGGCGCCCAAGGACCTGTCTCTGCCGGAGGAGGTGCGACAGCAGGTGATCGCGTCTGGGCAGCTGGTGGTGGAATCGGAGGAGCTGACGCCGGAGATCGTGGCGCGGTCGGACGTGCTGTACTCGACGCGGGTGCAGAAGGAGCGATTCGTGGATCTGGGGCAATACGAGCGTCTGAAGAACAGCTTCGTGATCGACAACGCGCTGCTGAAGCATGCTAAGAGCCACATGGTGGTGATGCACCCGCTGCCGCGGAACATGGAGATTGCGGAGGAGGTGGACTTTGACCAGCGGGCGGCCTATTTCCGACAGGTTAGTTTTCCCCTATTCTGCCGTGGTTCGAACGATTTACTAATTGATTTATAGATGCGATATGGGCTGTACTGCCGCATGGCCTTGTTGGCGTTGGTGTTGGCGCCTTAGCTTGTGGATGAAGTCTGTGGCACAGATGGTTGTTGCTTTCCGCCAGATTGTTTGGTTGCAGAATGCCGTCTCGTTAGCTTTGTAGTTTCGCTTGGAGTATTTTAGTCCATGTGATATAGATTAGATGAATTTCCTACATAACTTATTTTATGTATGGTGTATTGTGTGTATTGTGTGGTGTGTGTTATGTGTGTGTTGTGTGTGTGTTGTGTGTGTTGTGTGTGTCGTGTTTTACGTGTGTTGTGTGTGTGTTCTTTGCGTTCAGTGTGTTTTTTGTGTGTGTTCTGTGTTTGGCGTGTTTTATGTTTATGTTTGGCGTGTTCTGTCTGGCGTTCTTTCTTTCTTTCTTTCTTTTCTTATTGATTGTCATCTGGCATGACATCTGGCGCAGGATATGGATATGATCTGGCATGATCTGGGATTGGGATATGGATATTATATGGGATGGATGGATACTACTACGGGATACCCAACTTATAACGGACGGATTGGCGTTGTCGACAATGGCGACTGGACTACGATATCCACCATTGATAATATATTTACTTTACTTATTTGATCCTTTACTTGATTCTTTCTTCATAGATATCTATAAAATGTACGGAGTACTATCTCAAGTCCTGTATACTATACTATACTGGGTACTATCCGCGATCTACCCGATCAAGAACATGATAGGCCAATCCACCACAATCACTCCATCCACACTTTGATGGCGTGATCAGTTCCTCTTCACCTTCTTGAGTATTGACCACTCTCGATCTCTGTTTCGGATCCTGTCCAAGAGAATGACTGGGTAAAGGCAACCCCAATCTCGTCATCGCGGGACCCCATTGCTCATCGTATCTAGTATACTTACTACCAAGATGTAGTAGTATTGTTCTAGCGATGGATGAAATCATCCTTTTGGGCATCTCCGCAAGGATCAGCATGGTTGATACGCTATCGAGGGGTGGTTATCGCGCGAGGGGTGGTGGTGATGGTGTGCTGCCATGTGGTTCTTGCTTTCGATCTAAGGATTGTTGTATCTGCAGGTTGGAGCTCACTTTTTTCACTCTCGACTTGTACATAATACAAATCAATCCTTTGTCAAATCGATCTTTGACGATTGATCAATTACTATACTATACAATGTCACAACCACAGGAGAAGTCAGACCTCTGGGCCAAAAACCCCAATACCTCCAGCGAGAGCACCCTCGGAGATGCAGAACACCAGGATATTAATGAGAAGGCTTTGCTACGGAAGCTTGACTTGCGACTTCTTCCGCCGCTGACTATTCTGTATCTGTTGTCGTTTTTGGATCGGAGTAATGGTATTTCTCCTACATGACTCCTGGGATCGAAGTATATGCTAACTCGAACAGTGGGAAATGCAAAACTGGAGGGGTTGACCGAGGATATCAATATGAGTATGTTACCCATATGTTATTCTACATATGATATATATGAGATATTCTAACATACAATGTAAAGCCGGAAACCAATACCTCACCGGCCTAACCCTCTACTTCATCGCCTACGTCGTCTTCGAAATCCCCTGCAACATCATCCTCAAGCGGACGACACCGCGCATTTGGCTGCCGACGCTTACGTTGATCTGGGGGATTGTGGCGACCTTGCTGGGCGTGGTGCAGAATTACCCTGGGTATTTGGTTTCGCGAACGGGTATGTCTCTCCTCCCGTCTTACGAAGGCCCAGGAGGGACTGACAAACGTAGCGCTGGGTATCGCGGAGAGTGGTCTCTTCCCTGGAGTGGTCTTCTACCTGTCTATGTGGTATAAGCGGAATGAGCAGCATTATCGCGTGGCGTTGTTCTTCAGCGCGGCGTCGTTGGCGGGTGCGTTTGGGGGGATTCTCGCGTGGGTGAGTCTCATGGTATACTTACTATACATAGGATCCTGCTAACAGACTAGGGCATCGCGCATATGAAAGGCGTCGGCGGGTATAACGGCTGGCGATGGATTTTTATCTTGGTATGTTACTGTAACCAGATAATCTGATCTGATACTAATGAGAACAGGAAGGTCTCCTGACGGTGGTCATGTCGTTGGTTGCCTATCTCTGGGTGTACAACTACCCTTCGACAGCCGAGTTCCTGTCCGATAAAGAGCGCGCGTTCATCCAGCACCGACTGAAGACGGATAATGATTCGATCCGAGACGAGGCGTTCTCCTGGTCTGCTGTGGTGGATGCCCTTCAGGATCCCAAGGTCTGGCTGTATGGGCTGGGGTTCCATACTATGTCTCTACCACTATACACTCTGTCTTTATTCCTGGTATGACCCCCTTCCATTCCTTCAATGCACCACTCTAACAAAGTACAGCCCACCATCATCAAAGAACTGGGCTACACCTCCGCAGAAGCCCAACTCCTCTCCGTCCCCCCCTACGCCGTAGCCTTCATCCTCACCATCACCGTCGCCATCCTCTCCGAGAAAACCCAGCGACGCGCCCCCTTCATCATGGGCTCCTCCATGCTCGGCTGCATCGGCTACATCATGCTCCTATCCGACCCCCGCCCCGGCGTCTCCTACGCAGGGACCATCTTCGCCGCCGCAGGCATCTACCCCGCGGTGGCCATCGTGCTCTCCTGGCCCGCCAACAACGTCTCCGGCCAGACGAAGCGCGCCATCGCCAACGCGATGCAGATCTCCATTGGCAATCTGGGCGCCGTGATGGGCACCCAGCTGTACCGGACGGAATATGCACCGCGGTACTTTGTCGGCCATGGCGTTGCGCTGGCGTATCTGGTGGCTAATGTGGGGGTTGTGTCGGTGTTGTGGTGGGTCTTGCGGAGGGAGAATCAGAGGAAGGCGGAGGTGAGGGAGAGAGAGGGGATCAGTGTGGAGATTGGGGATATCAGTGATGCGAAGAATGGGTTCCAGGGGGATAAAGATGTGAGGTGGGTATTTCAGACTTGATCTGTCTATACTAGGAGTGAAATATATGAGTGTTGTTTTATAGTTGAGAGATCATCGTATGGTGTAGATGATAGCGGTGACTTCCATGAGTGAATTCGCCGTTCATTCACTGCCTTCTCTTTCTTCCACTCTCTACTTCTCTTCCTTCTTTTTTCTCTTTCTCTTCTTACTTCCTCTCCCTTTCTATCTTCTCATCTCGTCTTCTCTTCTCTTCTCTACTTCACTTCTTCTCCTCTCCATACACGTCAATCTTAACACTGCTCCTCCATCTCAAATCCTACCTTCCTAACTACATTCTCCATTCATTCAATCCTACAATGCTCCGATACATCTACCTCAAAACCATCGCCCTCCTCCTCCGCACCCTCTCCCGCCTCACGAGCCCCATAACCGCCCACCCGGACGAAATCGAGCACATCCCCTCGCGCGACCCCAACCGCACCATCAAAATCCACATCTACCACCCTCCTCCTCAATCCCCCGTCCAAACCAACAACCAACGCATCCTCCTCAACTTTAGCGGCAGCGGCTTCGTCATGCCCGCCCACGGCCTCGACGACCCCTTCTGCCGCCGCATCAGCTCCACAACAGGCTACACCGTCTTCGACGTCTCCTACCGCACGGCTCCAGAGTATCCATTCCCGGCTGCTCTCAACGACGCTGCTGATGCCGTCGCCTGGACGCGCGCACGCTATCCCAACGCCCGACTCGCACTCAGCGGGTTCAGCGCCGGGGGGAACATCGCCGCTGTCACAGCTACCACCACATCCACTACAACAGATACACCATTCTCGCATCTCATGCTCTTCTATCCCGCAGTCGACATGCGCGCGTCTGACCCCCCCAAGACAGCCCCAGACTCATCCGCCCGTCCGCTGCTCCCCAACTGGATCCTCGTCTTCTTCGTCCGCTGCTACATGGCTGGTTTCAAGGGAGAGGATGTTCCCTCTGCACTGGCTGATCCGAGAGTGTCACCTGGGTTAGCTGACCCTGCGCGGTATCCCCCCGTGTGTGGCATTGTGACTGCCGCGCAGGATACCATGGCTCTGGATGCGGAGAGTCTGGCGGGGAGGATTGAGGAGGCGGGGAAGTCGCTTGTTGTTTGTGAGAGGATGGAGGGGGTGGGACATGCTTGGGATAAGTTTGTTAAGGAGGAGACAGACGGGGAGGGAGAAGAAGAGAGGGGAATACCCTGGGTGAGGAGGGAGAGGGCTTATGGGATTGCGGTGGAGGTTTTGGGGAGATAGTCTCTCTCTTTCACACACACACACACACACACACACACACATACTCTCTCTCTCTCTCTCTCTCTCTCGTTTTATTTCTTTATCTCTTCTTATTGTGTTTTGTTTCTGATTTTATTCTTCACTTGTTCATGGCGTTCCCGATGGAGGTACTTGCTGGGTGGGCTCTCTGTCTTCGGAGAAAAGAAGACTAATGCTGGAACGGAACAAACCGAGGATGGGGTGCGACGGACTAAGTACAATATCAGTATCAGTATCAGTATCAATATCAATATCAATATCAGTAGCTAGTTAAAGTCCCAAAAAACCATGGTCATAGCTACGAGTTACCCCGCCTTCTAGTAATCAGTAACACATGCTGATTCCTGAGGTCGGACAGGACTCCATACTATTCTAATGTCACGTGGGTGGTTGTGGTCCATCCAGGGAACAGCCCTCCTACGTAGACATGATTGTCCACTATACAACAGCAGGTAAAAGAAATAGTGCATTGTAATGCCATATATAATAATAGATCATAAATAATAAGTAATAAATAGATAAATCACCCCTTAGCAGCCTCCGCCAACCCCGAAATCAACGACTCCGACCTCGTCATCTTCGGCCTCTCCCTCTTCTCCTCCCCGTTCACCCCCAACCCCTTGGCCACCAGATCGCCAAAGTCCACCCCCACCTCGGACAGCATACCCGCATGGCTGTGCACGATCTCCAGACACTTGTCCCACACGCTCGTGCCGCGCTGGACGCTGCTTAGTTGCCGCGTTAGCAGCGTGTTGAACCCTTCCAGCTGCCGCATGGCCCAGCCGATGCAGGCGCTGCTCATGGCGGGCGAGAAGCACTGCTGGTAGATGCTGATGGTGTTTTTGATGAGCACGAAGTAGACGTAGGAGATTTGGAAGATGTAGAGGGGGAGGTCGCCTTCGAAGACGCAGGCTCTGGACTGGGTTAGTATGGGTCATGGCTATTGCACCATAAGAGTTTGAACATACCGAATGCGCTTGGTGACTACATCAGACCGTGCATCGAGGTAAGCCTCGCGCGCCTGGTCCTCGAAGCCTAGCCGGCTCAGCCAGGAGACCTTCCGCTGGGTCGCTTGCGGGAAAGAAGGTGTGTCGACCAGCGCCCGCACGAGAACGTCCGCCAGCTTGGCTGCGCGTTCGTCCACCTTGGTGTTGATCACGTCCTGCGCGAACGAGTTGCCCCGCAGGCCGCGCGCCAGCTTGCGCAGGCGCTCGATGTTGGCCACTGACTCTTCAAACCGCTGCAGCGCGATGTCGATGTCCAGGTCGTCGATCTGCGACTCCACCCAGCGGAGGTTCTGCTGCTTCCCGTCGACGTCGATTCGCACCTCCGGCATGTCGCGACCGTCGTCCCCGGTGTCCAAGGCCTCGGGCTGGGGAAGGAAGACGGACTGGCGTCGTCCCATGAACGCAAAGGGGTCGGTGGTCTTGCTCGCTGCCTCGGTCTCCGTGCGGAGCGTGCGACGCAGGTCCTCTACCGTCTTGCGGAACGTCGCGAGGAGCTCGGCCTTGGCCGTGCTGTGCCGCTTGTCGTGGCGGTAGGTGAACGGCTTGGAGCCCACGCGGACGCTGATGGCGTTGGTGATGCCGCGCTCTTCGGCCTCTTCGCGGGCCGGCCCGCTGCCGAGGTGCGCGCCCAGATCGATCATGTCGATGTCCTGCAGGGGCCAGCACTCCTCGGCCACGAGCTTGGTCGGCACGGGGCCGCGGTGGTTCGGGTTGTTCTGGTCGACCCGCTTGCGTTTCTTCGCGGCCACCAGCAGGTGGTCGTTGAGCAGCACGATGTGGACGGGGCGTCGCGGCTTCCACGTGGCAGAGTCCAGCTCGGCCCAGTTGCCCGTCTCCATCACGATATGTCGCCCCGGCACCACGGGGAGGAACTTTTGCGACCCCTCGACCGTCTTCCACAGCGTCTGCAGCTGGACGTTCCACATGCTCTCGAGGTTGGCGACGGAGCTGCGGTTCCCGTTGCGCTTGGGTAGCGGCTCATCGGGGGACTGCGACATGGGGTTCGGGGAAGTGCCCACTGCCGTTTGTCCCAGGGCCGTGGTCAACTCGGCCATCAACGAGCGGAGCGTGCGCATTTCACTCTTCAGCTTATCGGCTTCCTTGCTGATCTTGATGAACTGGGTGCGGTTTTGGTATACATTCTGCTGGAGGTCGGTCGACGTTCGGTTCTTGACTTTTCGTAAGACCTTTTGGTAGTCCTCGATCTCCTCTTCCGAGGCCTTGGAGAGTAGATTGGCCACGTCTAGGGAATGATCATCAGTGAGCGTTGTATTTCACCAATTGGAGGGTGTGGAAGTGATTGTATCCTCACATTTATCGACCGGTAGACTAGGATCTCGCAATGCGTCGAGGTCTACCTGCGGGGGCCCCGACGGTTCCATCGACGGTTTCCGGCTCACCTCCGGCGGGGTGAGGCCATACCCGACCGGCAGGGCTGGGAGCCCCGGCACGGGCGGCGCATTGGCATCGAAGTCCGGGAGTTGATTGAATCGCGTTGAATACCGTCGCTTGACCAGATCGGAGGTCGCATTCTCTTTCGGTGGACCACGGTCTCGCGACCCCGAACTGGTCGAACCAGTCCGTTGGCTAGGATCACCCTTGTTGTTCTGCGGCAGCGGACCCGAGATCGGCTTTGGCGCACTGATCTGAGGACGAGGACGACGCGACTTGCTTCGAAGGGTTAAACCACGTCCTTCCATGTTGACTATTGAGGGGGGGGGGGGGAAGAAAGATAAGAAAGACAATGAGGGATGAGGAAGGGGGTATATCAGGTAGTATCGAGGAGCATCTGAGGATCCACCTGGAGAGAGAGAGCGAGAGAACTACGTAAGCAGACGGAAGAACAATAATCCCCTCATCTTTGCGTCGCTCTTTTTTTTCTTTATCCGACCAGCCGACCAGCTATCTTCGATCGTTCTATCAGTACGCGAACTACCATCCGTATCTTGACTCTCTCAATTGTCTTATAGGAGCTCCATTTATCATCCTCCCCATCCCGAGTTCCTTCTCCGATCTTCCATCTCCAGTCACTCCCCCTTCCGACCTCAACATGCAGACGTCAACGTTGGTCGCCATCTCCACTGGCACGGTACTGACCGGCTTGCTGGGTAAGTAGTGTCGCCAACCTTACCAATCTGATGGAGAAAGAAGAACAAGAAAAAGAAGGAGAAATCATCGACTGATGCTGATTCGCCTCTCCCTCCAGCCTACGCCGTGTACTTCGATCACAAGAGACAGACGGATCCGGACTTCCGCAAGTCCCTCAAGAGGAACAACCGACGCATGGCCAGGGCCGTCAAGGAGGAGGTCGAAGCTCAGGGTGCCCACGAACGGGAAACCATCAAGCAGGTCGTGCAGCAGGCCAAGGATGAGGGCTTCCCCACCGACCTCGAGGAGAAGGAGGCTTACTTCATGGGCCAAGTCGCCAAGGGCGAGTCCATCTGCGGTGAAGGTATGTGTCTGATGTGTCCCCTCTCTCTTTGAAGCTCTTTGAAAAAGAGTCAGTACTCACCATCCCTCCTAGATGCAGACAAGATCGAGGCCGCTCTCTGCTTCTACAAGGCCCTCAAGGTCTACCCCCAGCCCAAGGACCTGATCGCCATCTATGACAAGACCGTCCCCAAGGAGGTGCTCGAGGTGTTGGCCATGATGGTCGCCATGGACCCCGTCCTGCAGGTCGGCTCGTTCACCGGTGGCGGTGCTGGTGCCGACAACCACGGTGTCGAATAAACACATCCGACATTCCTCTCCGTCGAATCCGAATTCCGCCCTCTTAACCCTCGATCCACCGTCACCCTTCGGAGTTCCGCATACAAGATTTGGCCCCCACCGTGTCTTCCTGTGTTATACAACACTCGGGACCGTGGCCTCATCTGTCATGTGGTAGATAGACTTCTCTCTTGCCGGCCTATGAGTCGGGTTATATTTGCCATATGACGTCTCCCAGCATCTCCACTATCTCGAGTGCGTGTATTTTTTGTTTCTTTTTTCGTTTTTCCTTTCATGTCTCTGGTACCACTGTATATTTGCATTTTCGTCTTGGCCGCCGGTGTGGCGGAATCATCTTGGTATTTCTCGGCGCCATGACTTGGTCCTTTTCGTTCGCCTTGTCCTTCCCCCTTTTCCTTCACGGTCCGCTATACGAGGGTCTGGGCCACATTTTCTGGGCTTCTCTGGTTGTCTTCGGTTCAGTGTTCTCCCCCTTTTCTTCTTCCCCCGTCCGTCTCGATGGGGTGTACTTCTAAAAGAGATCATCGGTAGTTTAGCGCGGGTAAAATAAAGATTGGATCGAATCATCGATGTAGACCATGATCCACGCTCTGTGTCGTACGTAGCTATGGGTTTGATAAGACAGTATCTCAGATTCGGCCTGGGAGGATTGGAATGAATATCCCACTTCCTTCAGTCCGTTTGAAAAATACACCCATCCTTCCAACCAACTATGGAGTAGGTAGTCTGTTCTTGGTGTCGCAGGTTCCTGCCAAGCAGTCAACCATTGGACCACTTGGGGCTCCTCCACCCTTGCCCAGCTTCTAGTGTCCTCAGTCCGTCGTTTAATTAATTGCTGGGCACGGCTAGTCCTGACAATAATAAATAATAAATAAATAATAAAAATAATCATCGTGAGGTTGAGAACCCCGTTATAATGTCCCGCTCCCCTTTTCCTCCCTCCCTCAGCGTTGCTCGTTCTCCCACTCTCTTTTACTGATCCAGCCATTCTTTTCTGGTTCTTCACGCTCGCTACTTCCATATTGCAGCTCTTGCTTTTTGCGCTCGTCGCTATCACTCCTTAATCTAATTCTCACTTCCTCCACAAGAACAGGACTCTTCCGGGTGAGGAGTCGTCCGGTCATTTTCACAGATCGCAATCTTACATCTCCAACGACAACATGCTGCCGGTGGGTGTCTACGACTACATATAGGTCAACATCATGGGAGATAGAATGAAGTTACTGATACCCCATAGACATACGGTCGCGTCCTGGCTGCGGTGTGCGCCCTGGCCACCACCGCTACGGCCGTGGTCCCCGTCGAGGTCAAGGGCCGCGATTTCGTCAACAGTAAAACTGGAGACCGTTTCCAGGTGATGGGCGTCGAGTAAGGATTTTCGATCGCGTTACTCCGTATGGAAGGTGACAGTGCTGATCGTGGTGTCATGATGAACAGTTACCAACCCGGCGGTACTTCGGGCTTCACCAAGTCCAAGGATCCCCTGAGCGATCCCAAGAGCTGCCTGCGTGATGCCGCTCTCATGCAGCGTCTGGGTGTAGGTCCCCCGCCACCCTCCTTTGATTTTTAATTCCATGTCGGAGTCACTACGAGGACGTCTAGACTAACCACGATCTAGATCAACACCATCCGCATCTACAACCTCTCCCCCGAGGCCGATCATGACGAATGCGTGTCCATCTTCAACGCCGCCGGTATCTACATGATCCTCGATGTCAACTCCCCGCTGCAGGGTGGCTCCCTCGATCGCACCGACCCCGAGGGTACCTACAACGCCGGCTACTTCGAACAGGTGTTCGGCATCGTCGAGGCCTTCAAGGATTTCCCCAACCTCCTCGGCTTCTTCGCCGGCAACGAGGTCATCAACGAGCAGAGCGTCAAGAAGGTCCCCGCCTACATTCGCGCCATCCAGCGTGACATCAAGGACTATATCAAGGAGCAGGTCGGTCGCAACATCCCCGTCGGCTACTCCGCCGCCGACGTGCGTCCCATCCTGGTCGACACCGTGAACTACATGATGTGCGAGGACAAGGACGAGCCCAGCGCCAGCTCCGACTTCTTCGGCCTCAACTCCTACTCGTGGTGCGGCGATGCCACCTTCAAGAAGGCCGGCTACGACATCCTGACCGAGGACTTCTCCAAGTCGTCCATCCCCGTCTTCTTCTCCGAGTACGGCTGCAACGCCGTCAAGCCCCGCAAGTTCAGCGAGGTCCAGGCCATCTACGGCGACGAGATGTCCCAGTCCTTCTCGGGCGGTCTGGTCTACGAGTACACCATGGAGGACAACGAGTACGGCCTGGTCAAGATCAAGGACAACGGCGACGCCACCCTGCTGGTCGACTTCGACAACCTGATGGACCAGTACGCCAAGCTGGACATGAAGAAGATCGAGACGGCCAAGGAGTCGCAGACCGGCGCCAAGGCCCCCAAGTGCGGCGAGGGTCTCATCAAGAACGGCACCTTCCTCAGCACCTTCGACCTGCCCAAGCGCCCCTCCAAGGTCCAGGACATGATCGACAACGGCCTCAAGGACGCCAAGACCGGCAAGCTCGTCGACGTCTCCTCCGCCCCGGTCGAGCAGACCATCTTCGACCACACCGGCAAGGAGGTCAAGGGCATCAGCCTGAAGGCCCTCGCCGAGGGCGAGTCCAACGCCCCTGGCAAGCACACCTCCGGCAAGGCCGACGCCTCGGGCGAGAAGGACGAGGAGAGCGCCGCGGTGGCGATGTCCGCCTCCGTCTGGGGTCTGGTCTCTGCTGCTGCCCTGGCCACTCTTCTGCTGTAATTAATTTTCGCTTATACCTAGATCTTGTGGATCCGTCGATAATACCTCGCTCTTGTGAATGAACTGTTGTCTGGATGGACAACATGTCCCGCACCTAAGCGCCTGCTATTAGTATAGTACTCATGTGTTATATATCCATTGAAGCATTGCATTTCTCTATCCGTGGCATAATATAGATACTGTCTTCACTATTTGTGTTGAAGTTCTTATTATATAGTTGATGACTTTAATAACGTCTAGACTCAAAAGTATACTTGAGGTAGTAAGCAAAAAAGCGCCTACATAACAAGTAGTGATGGTCCACCTTGCAGGACTCGGAATACTAAAGAGGTGTTCCGCCACTGGTAAACTCGAAGTGATACATCAGTTTCAAGGAGTTATTACTCTGTGACTCGAGATATCATGATATTGTTGACCTCCGTACGTAATCCTATACTCAGTGCGACACATTACGTGTCATACCATATGCTAGTTCCGTCAGATTGTGATGAGGAAAAGAACGAGGCTGGGTTGATACTCGCTTCTACATGGTTCATACCAAGGTTATGCGTCCAGATTTTTGTACTTTCATAGGGCCAACATTGGACTATACCTGATACTGTTGATAAAGATACAAGCGTCTAATTAACTGAATGAACATAATAATGTCGAATATAGATAGCCAAGTCGGCCACAGTGAACAGGACATCCCCTATTAAGACACAAAAAGCTTCCCCAAGGGTTGAGACCCACAACTTGATCCAAGCTCCCTCTTAGGTGAATAGACAGACACCAGGACAAGGGACCCAACCCTACCTAGGAATCTTGACACCAGTCTCCCAGTCTGCATAGTTGTTTGGTTTGGAGGAAACAAAATCCTCCGCGCTGTGGTAGCATAGCAGTTGCTTGTTCTCGAATGATGCAAACGAGCAGTTCGAGTCAGTCGTGCACTTTCTAAGGCAATCTTCCAGGCTGTTGAAAGTGCCGGTCTGCTTCGTCATGGTCGTGGGTACTGTCGTATGGAATTAGCATAACTCCCGCTTTCACAACTACCAAGGGTTTATACCTTGACCACAAACGAGGTAGAAGCTCGTGTCGTCCACCTCTGCGATCTTCCGATCACTAGCCGCGCCTGCATAGAATGATGAGTATGAAGTCGCACACAAGCTTCAATGCCATAACTTACAGGTCGGCGCCCCAGGCTTGTATTTAGCCAGGCTAGCCTCACACTTAGCCAGCGGATCCAGCTCCGCGATGACCATGCGGCCAGCGTAAGGGACGCGGTCCCCAGTACCCTGGCCCAGCCAGCACTGTCCCTGGGAGCGATCCCACACCGCCGTATCGCAGTCATCGTCGTCGTCGCAGACGTCGATGCACCTTTCGGGAGTGCTCAGTTTGATGTAATGACTGCTGCCGGTGCTCTGGGCGACATTGCAGTAGTAGGAAAACGTCTTTCCGTCGACGGTGAGCGTTCCTTGCGTTTGGTCGTTGCCGCAGTGTTGGTCGAAGGCTGCACTGTAGGGTCCTCTGGCGGTGGTTTCGGCGATGCCGGCTGCTGCGAGGTGGGACATTCCCAGGGCGGTTGCAATATGTGTGAGCTTCATGTTGAGGTGATGGGAGTAGATTTACGATGGTCAACTCTAGGAGGAGGGAATGGATTTGCTAGTTGGTGAAGCCGGGGGAGTTTACGCTGCTACTCGTTTATATATGGACAACAGCGGTTGTCAAACTTGTTCTTCTCAATGGTATAAGATTCCACTTAATCCCTTTCTTCCTGGTTCTGGTATTCAGAACCCCGAGACGGACAACAACAGCCATGTTAACCGGAGAATGTGGGATTCCCTATTTGTATCCCTTGCAGTCTGGCGGACTGGAATGAGGAAGAGGCTAGAATAGAAGGCTGGGGGATTTTTGTTCGTCAATTTCCAAGTGAAATGAGAGACCAAGGCAGAGTAGATTCCAATCTGCATGCTTTATCATACTGTCCTTTTTCCAATACGGGTCAATCAGTCATAAGCATGAGGATGTTCCATTCTCACCCTTGGAACCCATTCTACCGAATCATGCTTTTCGATTTGTATAAGACCTTACAACTCGGGGGGTTTCTTTCTGTAGTATCTCAGTTGGCACCCTTGGTTTCGCTCCTGGATTGCTTTTCTTTTATGAAACCATCCAAAAACATGTATAGAGGAAAGCTCAACAGGGCAGCGGACATGTTGGTCGATTCCATTCTCAAAACATTCACTATGATTGGAGTTGGCGTCTACACTCAGCGTTTCATAAGTCGTTTGATGCCAATTTGTATATAATAACCATTCTACCTACTGACCAAGGGAATTTTAGACGATATAAGCCACGCCGAGGCTATGAGACTGCGCCTACAGTTCCCAAGGCTGACTTCAGCCCGCTTGAAAGCCTTGGCCTCCAACCCACAACAGAAACAGAGACTTCCATCATCTTTAACCAAACTCTCACGACCAGAAGATTTTAGTCGGATTTGTCTTAATGGATTGCCCTTTAAACGAGCTCCCAAAGCCTCCAATCCCATATACTAGAGGCTCTATCTTTACGGCTCAGACACATATTCTCTCCGCACGCGCCCCGCTTATTCGAAACTGTTGTCATAATTCCCGATCTGGCAGAAAGGAGAGAAGTCAACTCAGTCCAGTGGAGCGATGTTTAAAGAACCCTCCCCTGCAGGGGACTGTGATACCTAGCAACACTGATCTAAGAATCCTGGATCTACTCAAAGTCGGGGATGGACGTAAATCCCAAATCTTTACCGTCCGCGCCAGCGGACGTCGATTCGATCCCGAGCTTTTCCCAGAGACCAGAATCTTGGTGGCCAAAGTGTATGACCCTCTCTATTTTGATGATCAAGGGGGGGTCTTGAACCCGTTTCTGTGCGTGGAGCAGCATTACACCCGCGAGGTCCACGTTTATGCAGAAGCCCTGCAGGCTATGCAAGGGTTCTTGTTGCCTAGATATCACGGGTCGTATTCCCTCGACCTGCCGGTGGAGAACTCTCAAGCACGAACGGTCCGACTGATTCTGCTCGAGTATGTGGCAGGGATCAGCATGCACCCAGCGGATCCCCAAGATTTCACTCCCGATCGGCGCCGGCAAATTATGCATTGGGTGATCAGCTTTGAAAGTTTGGCCTATAAAATGGGTGTCTTGTTAACAGATCTCCGCCCTCAGAACGTGATACTTCTGCAAAGCCCAGAAGGTACCCTACAGGGGCCGGTCTTTCTGGATTTTGGTGGCGCTTTGTGCAGGCGAGATGATCCGACTGTTCGAGCACCAGACTTGTTTCCGGGCAAATACATTTCTCCTCTTTTGCGATGGGACGAGGCGAAGGCGAAGGAGTTCATCGCGTGGATTGATTGTGATTTCCAGGGTTGGATTAACGATACGTACGCACATACTGCAGGATCAATTACACCAGAAATGCGGGAGGCTTACGCTTGATATCTTGTCAAGGCTGAACTCCTGAATATCCAACGGTGACAGCACCGTCTATCTTTTACAATGGTATGTAGCTGCTGTTTGATCGGGCTCTGGCCGCGTTGGATCAACTCAATCAATTTCCGACCGGCTGGAAAGCTTCAAGATATAGACATTAAATCCTTCCCCTAATTAACATGGTTGAGCACATAATTAATACTTTGTATCTAAGTGGCGGCGCGATACAGCCAGTTAGTTCCAGGTGCTGTTAAAGCGGGCATCCAGCCAAGTGGGGCATAACCCTGTGGTAGCCTGAGAGCCTTATGTATATATTTGTCGGAGTCCTCCCAGTGTCAGTCTTTCTCTCCCAGTTTACAAGATTAATCATAGTGATCTACATTGCCCTTTCGACCTACTTGTTCCTTCCCCTTCTTTGCTTCTCTTCCTCCAGCTAAATCTTGCTAAACAATGTCTGGTCGGGGACAAAGACCGGAGGAACCCCGTCCAATCACTCCTCCTGATCCCACTCTTGCGACCAGGCCAGTTCCCCCGACACGAAGCTACATCGCGCGATCATTTGGTCCGGCAGCTACGAGCGACATCCAAAGAACTGCACGATCCATGACAGAGCTTGAGGCTGAAGCGGACCCGGCAACCCATCCACAAGCCCCAGAGAATTACTATCCGAGCGTGGACGAGACCCGCAAGCTTCTCAAAGAGGTTGAAAACTGGGCATTTGTCGAGGATGACCCCACCTGGGGCTACTACGTCTTCGTCACGACTTACTCCGACAGCGCGCGAGAGAAACTGCCACAGGCACTAGCCAACTGGGTCAAAGTGGCTCAGAAGTGTCTGAGCATCGGGACCCTGCCCATCTACTCGGATGAAGCATTCCGCCGATTCAAATTCAATGTCGTGGAAGACAGGGACGCCCTGGATGGAGCGTCGGTCGATCGCGTGCGTGAGGAGTTCCGCGCCCAGATTAGGGGCTTACATCTGGGCGAGGGCGACAATGAGGATGATGATCCCGGAACGTCCGGGTTTATGCCACCTGCTCGAAACCAAGCGTGCTTTTTGCTCGACGAGGCTGCCATTACCATGCTAGCCGATATTGGCTCGCTTCCCGATGACGCTGTCCGGTTTTATCGGACTTACAACCACAAGACCGTCACCGTTGTGGATGGATTCTGGGATCGGTCGCGACAGGACCCCCGGGAGACCTATCGAGGGGTAGGCCAGCTTGCTGTGGCGGGGTTGGTGGATTTCTACCTGAACTTGACGATAAGTGCCAACGCGGGTGCGATGCAGGATCTTCATCCCATTAATGGCTGAACGTGATGTCTCCTCCTGATTATCAACCGGCGTTGAGAAGTAGGTGGAGAGTTTGAGTTCCCTAGTATCTTTTGATCGTTCTAATTTCATTCTACTTTCTGTGTATCTGATCTACATCTACACACGAGGTCTACCTCTCTACTACGCCTCCTAGTAGCTGTCATTCGCACAGCAGAATTCTACTGAGCCAGAGGCTCACGGACAAAAATAAAACTAATTATTTCACGAAAAGTCTCTTAAGTTTGACTTCAAAGATTGCTATCACAACTAGCCTAAACTCGCACCCCATCCCTGAAATGAGTGGCAACTATCGTCCGTAATGGATTAGGTTTCTTTCTCTGCAGTTGCGGACACTTTTGACGATGCAACCCCTGCTGAAGCTACTTTGACAATTAATACAGCAACCGACTAAATGAAAAGAGAAAACCAAACATACCATCCTTGATCGCGACACAATAGCTAAGCCCCGTTTTGAGCAAGCAAGGCTGAGAACTGCGGAGGCTCGGATTCCACGCCCTCAGTTTCTCCGCGGTCGTCCCATAGAGGTTCGCAATACCCCCGCAACTATTAATTGTTTTATCCAGGGATTTATCGCCGGTGTCAAGATACGAGATGTATTGAGCACAGCTCGCGCGAGACGCCGTCCCAGGTGCAGGTGGGTTTGGAGTATATGCTGGCGCAGACCCGGTGGGTTTGGCACTCTGTGATGTGTGGTTTGCATGAGATCCAAATGGAGTGGGCGATAGGCTCGCGTAGTCGCGATAACAGGATTCTGGAGAACCTGGACCACTACACGGGCCGATGGAACTGCGTCTATACAGCATTAGTATATCACATGAAATTTGGGGGGGTGGTCAAGCCTACACTGGTGTTGGTTTAGTTGTTGGGATGGCAGTTGTTGTGTCTATCGATTCCTCTCCTGGCGGGCTTGACGGGACTGTTAATATCGATGTATGGATTGGAATGAGATAATGCCCTACCTCACACAGATCTGCATGTCCACTTGATGTCCCATATTGGTGCAAAGTCCATTCAGATTCGGATTCCACGACTGAAGCTGGGTAACTGTGACGTATCCTGGCTGCTGCTTCGCGACACTTTGACAGGTGTCGTTAGCCGCAACCGTGTAGATGGCGCATTTGGGTGGCATGCAGAGCTTTGTGCCCGCAGATGGAAAATGCTTGCAGTACGCGGGCAATCCATTCAACACAGTCAAAGCATCAGTGGACACTTTTTGCGCCTTGCAGATGCCGCTGCAAGTGTCGTCAGTCTTGATGGTGTAGGTAGATGCGCAGGATGGTGTCACTGAAGGAGCTGTCGATGTGCTGCTACTGCGAGTCACGATGGGAGTGGGCATCGTCGGCTCGAAGCCAGTCTTGCCACAACTCGAGGTCAACGAGGCGAACTCTTCGAGAGCGTGCGGGTTGTATGAGAAATCGGAACTCAGGCCGAGTTGTCGTGTTTTCAGCATACAATAAGAGCATTTTTGCTCCCTGGTGAGGTCCGCCTGCCACGAACGCATGATGTCATGACAGAAACGATGGGTCCCCCTGTTGACTGACAGTTAGCTGTGTGCATACTCGGAATTGCATGGATATTTCTCACTGATCTCTCAAGCATGTCTTGTTGTATGTATCAAGCAAGCTCTCAATCCGTTGTGTAGCCGGGTACATATCCCCACCCACGGGGATGTGGTTCGATTCCCCAGAGCAGGCCGATTGGATCTCACCACGGGTGTGTAGCAAAGACCTGTAACAATCAGAGACGCATAGTGTGGTCAGATTTTTCGCAGTCAATTCAATATCTTCCGTGTTATACAACGCCAGTTGCCAGTTACAGTCGACCGTGCCGTTGAGAGCGTCTCGACAGGGTTGAGTCAATGAAGGAATATTCATGTCATACGAGAACCCCATGGGAAATTGCTGAGCAGTAACAAAGTCCAGCATCAGGATAACCAGCCAGCCCCGGGTGCTGTACATTTTGGTGGTGTTTTTCATTTACTTTTCTGCTGGCGATGGGATCGAGAAGTAGGTGGGGGGGGGGGGGGTTGGAAGTATTGATCCAAGGTAAGAGAAACAGCCCTCAGTCTAGAGCTTATTCGTTTTCTACCTCCCTTGGTACTTCATGAAGCTGATTGCCAGAGAGATCGGCAAACGACCATCCAGCCTCACGGAGAGGGGAGAAGATCTTGGTGGGAAGCCGCGAGTGATGAAATAGCAATGTAACTGCGCGATTTTATCAGGATTAGTTGGGCTTCAGCTGCAGGTCAACGATGCTAAAAAAATAAAAAAAAACATCACCAAAGTCTTAGTACGGTCTCCAAAGGCTTAGTACGGTCTCCAAAGGCTTAGTACTGGGATTAAACGTCTCATCAGGCAAGATAGGCCGGGGTTCATCGCTCTATTCGTTCGCCTTAATGCACGACCACGGCGAGGCTGCTGCACCTCGGGCCGAACTAGTGAGTAAGGCTTTGATATTCATGATTTGGTACATTTGGAGTGTAAGAGATTATAGTCGAATAATCGGTTCAAACAGTACCTGACATCAACTAACTTTAGGGTAAGAGACCTAGCAACCTAGATTAAAGGATCTGGATAATTCTCGAGAACCGTTTGATTGATGTGGGTGACGAAAACCTGAGAGATACCAGGAATCAACAGAACCTGCTAGGGATCCCAGTCCCCACCACGATGTTGATCACACGGGCCATCCTTTTGGCTCCTTCTATTCTAGGGCCCCCTGTCCAGTGAGGCTGAATTTCTTCCTTCTGCAGGGTTTGTTCCAGCCGAGGAACCGCAGAGATGTAAAGGCCTAAAAAGACTAGCGCAGGTACTAACTAGCATATAGCACCATTCATGTTGGGAATGCAGGTGATGGTGGGAGGTAGCCTGGTCAGGACTCTCATACTTAGTCGGATTTGATCCTCCTGCTTTCCTTCTGTCTCTTCTATCGCACCGCAGTCGAGTTCAGATCTAGGTTGGTACCATGGATTTGACAGCAAAATTGATAGGTGATGGCCTCAAGTCAAAGTTACTAACTAGAATCTTGGTGATCTGCCTGACTGTTTTTTCGGCGGCTGCCTTTTTATGGCCTAAAGCTCAATTGTCCCTTGCCGGGCGTGACCATGGGAGCCACGCTCACCTGGACAGGAATTTCGGTTCCTTTCTAGGAATGAGGGCATCTACAGATGACGATTTCAGCTGTTCAGAGGATAAGCCCTGTTCAAATGGTGCATGTTGGTATGGCTCTGTTCTTCGAACAATATCCATGACGTTGAGTGGAGGAAGCAAGTTAACGGGAATGGCAATGATTATAGTAGCACGGATGGATATTGTGGATACAGTAACTCTATCATCAATCTCCTAGTGAAGAAGAATGAGTTGCTGACTTGTTAGGCCCTAATCACTGCGGCGATGGGTGCCATTCCAACTGCGATGCCAAAGCTCAATGTGGGCAATACTCGGACACCGGCAACAGAGCATGCCCTCTGAATGTTTGTTGCAGCGAGTAAGTGCCTTGCCTGACCTGATCATTGGAGTTGGTAGACTAAGTATGAGCGACATCAAGGGCCGGTTACTGTGGAACGACCGAAGATTTTGCTCAGAGAAATGTCAGAGCAATTGCGGCCAACCGTCTGTGCCGCCAGGACGGAACCCACGCGATGTTCGGAGCAAGGTTATTGCATACTATGAGGCTTGGTACGTGACTTTCCCCAAAAGAGGAGCTCTATCTCATAGCTTGCAGGAGTTCCTCTCGCAAGTGCAACAAAGTCCAACCTTGGAATATCCCGATCAGTGGGGTGACTCATGTCAATTTTGCCTTCGCATTCGTCGATCCTGTTTCATACAAGATCACAACCATGGATTCCGGAACCCCTGAAAGTCTTTTCCAAGAAGTCACAGCGATCAAGTCCATGAAATCGGGACTCGCAGGATCACCAGTCGAGGTGTGGATCTCGATTGGTGGTTGGACATTCTCGAACAATGATACCGACACCCAACCGGTGTTTGGAGATATATCAAGGTCTGATAAAAAGAGACAGGATTTTGCTGATAACCTGGTTGCGTTCATGACCCGCTATGGGTTTGACGGAGTGGATCTAGACTGGTAAATGGTGCTCTTGTGGTATGACATGATGATGCGGGCTAACTAAAGGCCAGGGAATACCCGGGGGCTACTGATAGAGGAGGCAAGGAAGACGACACAGAGAACTTTGTCAAGTTGATGGAGACGCTTAAGGAAACATTCAAAAGAAGCTCTCGTGGTGGATATGGACTGACATTTACGGTTCCGTCCAGCTACTGGTATCTTCGTTGGTTCGATGTTCCCAAAATGCTTGATGCTGGAGCGGACTGGGTCAATTTGATGTCCTACGATTTACACGGTATTATAAAACCCCCTTGCCCCGGCACTGAATGATTTAACAGACTAAATAATTGGCAGGCGTATGGGACCAGGATAACCCTATTGGGAGCTACGTGCACGGCCATACAAATCTGACAGAGATCAAAGAAAGCGTCAACTTGCTCTGGCGTAACAAGGTCCCCCCAGAAAAAGTCATTCTTGGAACGGGCTTCTATGGGCGATCATTCCAGCTCAATGACACCAGTTGTACCACACCGGGATGCCCCTTCAACGGGGCTGCAGAAAAGGGAGAGTGTACCGGTGAAGGCGGCATTCTTGGCTGGTTCGAGATCAAAGAAATCATGAAGAGCCGAAACATTTCACAGATCCATGACGAAGAGGCCGCAGTCAACTACTTTACGTTTGATGAGAATCAGTGGGTCTCGTATGACGATGCAAAAACCTTCCAGCAGAAAGTCGACTGGGCAAATTCCGTCGGTCTTGGTGGTCTGATGGCCTGGGCGATTGACCTTGATGATGAGGACTTCACGGAGCTTGGAGGCCTGATTGGCCGCGACCCTGGCAAGGGAGTCGACAAGAGCCTGGTGAAAAGAGAGCAGGAGGCCGCGAGTTGGTCATCTGATAACGGTAAGAGCAGCTTTCTCTTTATTTTGCGAGTAGGTTGGGCTTTACTGACAGAATATTGTAGGTCAAGAATGCTATGCCACAGCTTGTGGAGAGAAATGTAAAGCTGAAGAGGTTGTTTTGGAAGATAACTTCATATCCAACTGCCACGCGAAAATCGGCAAGCAGATCTGCTGTCCTCGAGACAGGGCACCTCGCAGCTGTCGTTGGAGAGGAGGGAAGGATGGAAGCTTTTGCCACGGCCAGTGCCATAATGGTGAACTCACGCTTCTCTTGGACGGGTACGGCGACTGTAAGTAGCATGGAACCTTTTTTTCTATCATTCCCTTACTCCCATGGACCCTGTTAGGAGGATGGAATAATAGTTTCCTTGTCTCCCAGTGAGCATGGTACTTTACACGACGGCTATGCAGGGTCGACTGCTAAGAAATTCCCAGTCCTCTGTACCACCGGAAGACAAGCATTCTGCTGCACAGCGGATCGGTATAAGGAGCTCCTAGATGGCTGCAGTTTAGGCAGCTGCGGAGGTTCTTGCTCTAAAGGGACCACGGAGGTTGCCAAGCAATATGATTTTGGCAGCTGCTGGAACCATGCAATCCATGGATACAAGCGACCCTGGTGCTGCAAGAAGCCTCTTAAGGATTGCCATTGGGTGGGAAAGGGGAGCTGCGATGATAACAATTGTGACAAGTAATTGCCAACCCGCTTCGATTTCTCACGCCGCTCTAATGCCATCCTCCCAGTGACGATGTCCAGCTCTCCCTCAGTGGCTATGGTGATTCCGCGACATTATGTGGTGTTGCTGGACGCAAGAAGAGTCTGTGCTGCGCGCCGCCAGACAACGTCGAGTTGTTCACGCCGGTGGCCCTGGAGAATCTCTTCCCAGACCCACCCCCTGAAACGGACTCTGTCAAGTGGGATCTACAATTCCTGGGAGGATATGCAAACAATGGACAGACGACACCACGTGTCCCCATAACGAACCCAAATGATGGGGCTTTTGGGTTTGTATTAATCACTGGTCCCAAAGACATCGTCTCGAGTCTCTCAAAGCGAGACGGCTCCCATGTCGAGTTTGTCGACTGTCCTTCCATCACTTCATCTGAGCGTCAAAAAACTCGCTTGATTTGCACCACTGACGAGGAGGACAGCAACTGTGATGACATCTTAGATGGCGGACTCGAGGGAACAGTCGTGCGCATGCCGGATAACTGTGGTCCTGGGTCATATGCTGTTGCTCATTCCCTGAGTCCGTCTGGGAACCAAACTCTTCCGCCATCTTTGACAAAGAGGATGGCAAGCAGCAGGAAGGTTATGGATCTAGAGTTCTCGTACGACTTTACTCTCATGAAGCGATCTGATGAGAAGGTCCAACTGCGGGTTGACTACTCGTAAGTGCAGACAAGTACACCCTACGAGTTTTCACAGTGTCGCTAATCATCATTACAGCAATCTTCCAGGATACTGGGACACGGTAGTAGATGAGCCAGGGGAAAAGTCTAAGCGAGATATCATAGACAAGCGATTCTTCTCCTCTGACAGTGCATCCTGGGGCCGTAGTGAGTTGGCTACTCTTTCCTTTCCGAGAGACTTTCAGAAGCAAGCAATGGCTGATATCAATCAGAATTTGATCGACTCTCTGAAAACCACATAGCCTACTACACCGATCTCTCAGAGCCGGCATCAGAAGTCATCATCGACGAGCAGCTCCAATGCGGAGGCGACTCGTACCTACAGATCGAATCCCAAGGCACCTGTACCCTCCAAGTGAGATTCGGGTTTACGATCATCGGCACACTACAGCCTCTTCACATTGATGAGGCGTATGGGTTTGTTGATCTCAAGCTGGATTTGGATGCCACGGTCAATGTTACTGGAAACGCGGCGGTACACACCGAATATAAGACCAGGCCGGCTCATATCACCCCCAATTCAGATATCGTGTTCTCCCACCCAGGCATTGTGTCGTTCAAGCCGACGTTTGATATCCAGATTGGCATTAAAGGCGACAATTCCTCATTTGCTGGGTATGTTCTCTTGTTCCGTTGTACCCCATTCCAATGCTGAGTGTTGACCCGGCCCAGCGCTTTCAACACCCATTTTCGCACCCAGACGGACCCATCAGTGAACCATGGGTGGATGCGATTGACATTCCCAAACAGTGCTGGCGGTACACGCGGTAGTCTGAAAGGCTCCCATATCACGAATAACTTCCAAGGACACATGCATACCGATAATGGGAACGTCGAGGTTACCCTAAACCCAAAGTTCGAAATGGGGATCGAACTCAACCAAGAAAGCTCCACGGCGATTGCTCAGCGCGAACGAGGTGACATTCAAGCCCGAGGGAGTAGCAATCCCCTCGTTGGCTATCTACTGAACGTCTATTCGCCCAACAAAGTTATCTGGGGTCAGAGTGGCGTCGACCTTCACTTGGATTCATTATATTACTCTCTGACAAATTTTGGAGATGGTACTATTGAACCCTGGAATAGCATGGTCAAGCCAGGAGTTGCTGTGGGCAAACAACCAGGAGGGGTCCACCTGCATGATCAGGATGAGAACATCGGTGGTATACCGGTCTACAGGGACCGTCTAAGGCCATGGACCATGTTCAAGTCCGACATCCTCAGCTGCCCTCGTAACGAGGACGATGACGAGCCCCTGTGTAAAGCTGTTGATCTGTGCGAAACTGGGCTTATCGACGATTGCGACATCGACCCGCCTGGTTCCCACCGTGGGCGGGCTCCTGATCATCAGAAGCGTGTTCCACTGTTTTTCACCGGGGGGGTTCGGCCTCCATATATGTCGAGATGCCTGGCTGAAGATACCGGTAGAATGCGCGGATGGCAATATAAGAATCTTGAGTACCCAACACAATCCGACTGGAGTACAGATGATTACAACTATGACAACTCACTCGATGCCACCGACTTCTCTGATTGCACAGCTATAACTGTGAAAGGGCACATAGTTCCTAATAACCGGGAATACGTCAGTGAGTGGCTTGATGCTCATCTGGGAAAGGTCCCGAGAGAAACTAATGATATCATCAGCTGAGCACATCATGGAGCTCCAGACATTGAAGCTATTCTTCAATGATGTGGCTGGCAATATATTACCCGACGGAATGAGCTCGATCTACCCTCAGATCTACTGCGAATTTGTAAAAAGCTTGACCGAACACTCGTTGAAAAACCCGCCGACCACGCCAGGAAGTACAACCAACAGCGATGTCCCCACAGTTCGCCTGATGCAACTCCATGGCTGGACTGAGAACTGGGGACATTTTGCTCTTCTAGAGAAAACGATCAATAGGTATAAGGAACTGGTGAGTGAATTGTTGCCTTTGGACACACTATCGACCCCCGTTAGCCGCTGACAGACTTTTTAGCTGTGGGAAGGGAAAAATCCCATCGAGCAACGAAAACGAGTGGAGCTGAACGGTGATCGCACTCGATGGGAGGAAGGACTCACCAATATCCGCACGACCTTCAACGTCTTTGCCTACCTCAACTTCCCCAACATCCACGGCAACCTGACGATAATCTCAAATAACATCAAAAACGAGCTACAGCGCGCTGACAAAGACTGGGTCGCGGCTGGGAAGGGAAGATCGCTCACGCGTATCAATGACTACTGGAGCAACTGGATCAATGGCCACTTGCAGCGTATGCAGAACGACGGCAGGGTCTGGGTGACCCTGTGTATCCAGGAAATGCGGGCCACCTGGTCCGGGGCTGACCCCGGGGATAAGACAGCGCAGTATGTCCTGGCTGCATTGCAGTACTTTGATTCGCAACTGCCATCGATCACTGTGAATTTGCAAGGTCTGAATTAAGTACTAGGTAGGGTTTGATGTTGGACACGCGATTGCGAGCTATCATATCATCTCACTAGATAGGCAATTTATGTTGATTGAAGTCTGAGCAAATTCCATTGCAGGTCACCGGGTAGTTTAACAGCGATGGATATAACCCTAAGTGGTAGATAAATAGAACGAATAGGGATACTATTTTGGTTTGGGGCATATTGTGGAAAGGACCGATCGAAACGATCGTAGTTTTGAGATAGATGTCGCAACATATGATGTTGTGACGATTACTTACAAAGCGCAGAAGGTGTCAAGACAACTCTTGTGGCCGAGTGGTAATTCTTCGCAACAAGAGATGTCATCGGTCGAACTTGTAGAACGGTGACATTTATAAGAAGACTGGCCGATTGCGGATACCCATCCGTTTAGACACGAAGGTGATGGACGATAATGTAACGGCTGTAGAGACTCGTCCCACATTTATTCTACTGCTGTCCAGTAAGGTGGTCCTTGATTTCAAAATGCATCTATTAATCACTTCGAAGTTTTAACTAACTTGCAAAATCCACAAACAAATTGATACAATACTAAACAGCTCTGCCCTTGCCCTTGCTCGTATCCCCCGACCCCGAATAAGACCTCTCAGCCAGCCCAGGGAACTCCTCCCGGGCCTGTTCGTCCTGCTGCGCGTTCTCTGCCAGACTCAGTTGGATGGCAAACTCTAGATCGTCCATCTCTTGACGATTACTGCTTTCTGGCAAGGCAGGTTCGTCTGGGAAAAATTCGCTGTGGTGCTGCTGGTTGGGCGGTTCGGGAAATCTACTCTCGTCAAACCCGCTAGGCGGCTCGTCGAGGAGACTTAACCGGATGGCTTCGGCGATGTCAGGGGCGAGGTCATCGTCGGCGGATTCCTCGTACGGGGACGAAGAGGACGATAGCTCATCTGCTGGGAATAGGCTACCGTTCCGTCCGACAGTGTCGCTGGACGAGGCGGTACTGGCGACCGAGGTCCCCGCCACCTCACCGCGCTTGCTCGCGTGATCAGTGCACGCCTCTTCGCTCAGCAGTCGCGCGTACGCTAGCATTTCCTCCTCGCTGGCATCGGGCCCGAGGAGGTCGGTACCGAAACGATTGCGAAGATGCGCTTCTTGCTTTCGGTCGGCTACATGCTGCCGTTTGAGTTCCTCCAATTCGTCTTCAATGTCGTCCTGGAGTGCTCCACGCCCGCTATTGTTGAATCGCTGGGCGTCGGCGGCTGCGTTGCTGCCCCGTTGAGTGCGCCGGAACCGACGCTTGCTGGTCTTGTACTGGTCCGCGGCCGTGGAACCATAGGACCAGTAGCGCAGATGGGTCCCTAGAGCCACCATGCCCCGTAGCACAGTTGGGTCAGGGTCAAGGCACATCGCGCCTGTCGCATAGAAGTTGTTTCCAACACCGAGGATAGAGGCCTCGGCCTGGACTAGTCTGCGGCGGGCCCGTGACGAGAATCGAGAGTTGATGGTCCGAATAGGACGGGTCGAGGAAGCGAGAGGGTCCCATGCTTGCACCAGTCCATCATTCCCACCGTGGACGAGATAGAGAGACGTCAAGGCTAAGGAAGAAACCTGTGGCGACTCCGTTTGGATAATACGCACTGGATTAATGGACTTAATAATCTCTGGATTCTTCGAGGTGGGTGATCGCACATCCCAGACAAAGACCAGTCCGGTACTAGTGCCAACGGCCATATACCGTCCACGCTGCCCAGGAACTTCGACGTTCGAGCCAGATTGCTGCATATGCGGCAGAGGGGAGGATGTAGCAGATGAGACAGATGATGTGCCGCTTATTCCCAGTAAGGGATCCTCATCGGCCGTCAACAAGGCGTAAGTGGACGTATCTAGCGCGCTAGCCGTGATACGGACGGCTTTCCGATCACCGAACGAGAAATCCGAGATAAACCATGCGGTGTTCCCCTCTCCACATACAATTTCATTGAGTCGACTGGAAGCGCGAGACGGTGGGACACTGTCTGCTGAATCTGGCGTCACCGACGGGGACGCCGCCAGTCCACCAAATATTGAAACCGCAGGGTTGGATTCAGCAAGAGACGGGTAGGTTCCAAGTGCCGGTAGCGATTCGACCTTGGATAGTTTCCTAGTATACCGGCGAATGGAAGCTTTCTCGCCCCCACCAGCGCCGCGGGTAACAACCACCATCGACTCGCCAGCACCATGAGCATCATCACCAGCAAAATCGACGATCAGGTCTCGTCTCATATCCCAGCCCTCACAAACCTTCCGGAAGTGTTTAGGCTTGAAGGACATGAAATGTTGGATCTCGTTTGTCTCCGTAGCCACTTGCTCCTGGCTAAGCTTCATGGAATCCGATGACGACCTAGGACTGTAGCTACCATCCACCGGTTCCCGATTGAAGGGGTCGGGCTTTGCCGTTCGCCTGCTCAGCTCCACAAGCTCCCAGCGGGCACTTCGACCTGTCTTCCAAGCTAATGCGTCGAGCTGTTCCGCGCTCATTTTGGCCGATGAAGTATCAGGTTGGCGAGGCACATCCGAGATATAGAACACCTCACCCAACGCATTGAGCACTGCCGCCCAAACCCGACGACGACCATAGCGCGTGGATGAGAAGCGCTCATCCACTGCAATTGCTATAATGGGAACCCCCGGGCAAAGTACCCATTTCGCTGTTACCTGACCTCTTTCGTACCTCTTCTCATAGGTGGGATGGGGTCCAAGCGCAAAAGCTGTGAGGACGCCGGAGGAAGCGCCGGACATCATACCAATCAAACCCCCAGTCAACTTCAATATCGGAGAAGATTTCGCAATCCATACTGAAGTGACTGCAGTGGCGATCGGATTTAGAACCGGAATGCCAAGGTGCGGATGCGGGCTGGACTGAACAAGGTTCAAAAACCGCCCACGCTGCTCGACAGACGAGATAAAGTAACTGCGTCCTTGAGGGCACGCCTCCCCGTATATCATGCCATAAGGCTGGCTGACATCCATACGGTTAGACAAACCCACCAGATTTCCGGCCCCCAACCCGTACTCTGCATCACCCGGAAAGATCTCCGCGAAATGACGGAACAGCTGGTGGTCCGACACACCCCACGTGCCCACCTTCACTGTCGAGGGGTCACTAGCAGACGCGATGCCTTGTTCTGCAGCCCCGTGCATGAACAGAGGTTCCTTCTTAGAGCTTTCGTTGCCAAAGATGCCATGGACATGGCTGACGGGGTACAAAAGCTGGGAGGTGTAGGTCAGAATAGCACTCCCATTGCGCATGTTTGCCGATCGAACTATGCCATGTTTTTTCGAGGGTGCAAACTGCGCTGGCTTCCCCCGCGACAGCGACCTCAGCAGACGAGTGCGCAAAATGTACTCGCTTCGCCAGGACGCCAAAGGGGTCAGCCTAGAGAAGTGACGCTTGTCGAAGGCCAGGCTATCGGATTGATCTGCCGCAGACAACGGGACACCATCTTCGGCGTTTGGCCCAGGGAAGTAACGGGAGAAGGCAATCCTCCAGGCATGGGGTGTCGTAACCAGGCTGTGCAAGCGATGGGACACTAGTGCGATAGATGAGAGCGACTGCGGAGGCAGGTGAGAGAGGATGTGAGTCAGAACCTCTGTCGATCGTTGCAGTTAGCCGAAGGTCCTTGCCCCGTGTTTAATCGATTTGACGACCTACCATTGGGGAAATCTTCCAGGGACAGATATGACGGAGTAGACATGGCTACTACTTTGAAACCTAGTCCCTCCTGGTTTTTAGGTGTGCGAGCAGCGGCCTTTTCATACTGGCTAACTCTATCAACCAGCGCGGATGCTTGAGTTGGCTGGTCTAGACCCGACTGGCGCACAGAGGGACCAGACAAGACTCCGGAGTCCCCAGCCTTGTCATGGTCAAGGCCAGAGACTCGATGGTCGCCACACGAATCATGTCCATCCTGGGTGAAAGAGAAGTTTTCGGACGATGGGTATAGTGAGCGATTGTGTTCGAAAACTGCAGTGGACTCTGGTTGCATAAACAGGTCTCGCAAGGTAACGGCAGCAATGGGGACGACTGAACCAGGCGAAGATTCTGGATCAGTCGGATAATTGGACAAACGAATCGGGCGAGAAGGCGGCACGACACGGATAAGATAAGGATATCGAAGAATATGATGCGCACCAAATCGGCAATGTTGTATTTACAGTGAGTGAAAGAGGAGATTCGAAGGTCCGACAGGAGGAGGAGGGTAGAGCAGGAGGTGACTCGGGAGAAGGAGAAGGAGAAGGATGATGATAAGAGTTGAGATGAAGTTAAAGCAGGCTTGGCACGAGAATGCGGAAAATCCACCGGTTATGTAAGCCATGCCTGAGGTGGCGGTTTTCGCGTGTCAGTCACGTGCCCACGCGCCGCAACATGCAGGTGACCGAGTGAGTTGACTCCGTAGATGGATCGTATCTGTTTCTTTCACTTTATCGTATACCAAGTCGTCTCTTGGTTCCGATCATGTCTGCCTAAAGACTCATTTCCTAGGATTATCAGCTGTCACCTATTGCTTGCCCTCCCCTAAGACCTACCAGACAGCACTCGCATGAGATACAGTACATACAAGACAGACCATCTCTTGCTGCAGGCTCCTTCTTCACTCACACTGGAGCTTATCCATCCTCTACCTCATTTCGATGCGTATCTGCCAACAGCGTTGATATGCCTAGTCCCGGTGGTAAGTGGGATATTTTGAGTCCCTTGCGTCATCGAATATACATTGATGGTCCTACTAGACGCGGAAACGATCCGCATTCTCGTTGCAACCGACAACCATGTTGGCTATAATGAGAGAGATCCCATCAGGGGTGATGACAGCTGGAAAAGCTTTCATGAGATTATGTGTCTAGCGAAAAAGCACGATGTGGACATGGTGCTTCTTGCAGGCGATCTCTTTCATGAGAACAAGCCCTCGCGCAAATCCATGTATCAAGTAATGCGTTCCATCCGGATGAACTGCTTTGGGGACAGGCCTTGTGAGCTGGAGATGCTCAGTGACGCCAGTGAGAATTTTCAAGGAGCCTTCAACCACGTCAACTATGAGGACTTGGATATCAACGTGGCCATTCCTATCTTTAGCATTCACGGCAACCATGACGATCCATCCGGGGAGGGTCATCTCGCGGCATTGGATTTGTTACAGGTTTCTGGTCTCTTAAATTATTATGGACGAACCCCTGAATCAGACAACATCGAGGTCAAGCCAGTCTTGCTGCAAAAAGGACGCACCAAATTAGCTCTCTACGGAATGAGTAACGTTCGGGACGAACGGTTATTTCGAACATTTCGGGATGGCAAAGTCAAATTCTTCCAGCCCTCGGTCCAGAAAAATGACTGGTTCAATTTGATGTGTGTTCACCAAAACCATCACGCTTACACAGAGACCGGTTATCTCCCCGAGAACTTCCTACCCGAATTCCTCGACCTAGTTATCTGGGGTCACGAGCACGAATGTCTGATCAACCCCCGTCTCAACCCTGAAACGAAGTTTCATGTAATGCAGCCTGGATCTTCGGTGGCCACATCCCTTGTTCCAGGAGAAGCGGTCACGAAACAAGTTTCCCTCGTCAGTATCACAGGGCGAGAGTTCAAGTCTGAGCCCATTCGACTGAAATCAGTGCGACCCTTTGCCATGAGGGAAATTGTCCTCTCTGAAGAAAAAGGGGCGCAGAAACTGGCCCGCAAAGAAAATAATCGTACAGAGGTCACTCGTTTTTTGATGACTATCGTGGAAGAGCTGATCGAGGAGGCCAAAGCCGAATGGCTGGAGAACCAAGACGACACCACGGAAGATGAGGAGGAGGAGATACCGCTACCCCTTGTCAGACTTCGCGTTGAAACATCCACGCCAGAGGGGGGTGCCTTTGACTGTGAAAACCCCCAGCGCTTTTCCAACCGCTTTGTTGGCAAGGTCGCCAATGTCAACGACGTGGTGCAATTTCACCGTAAAAAGAAGCAGGCGACTACGCGTAAGGACGGCACTATCGAAGAAGCAACGGTGTCTCATTTATCAACCCTTGACACGGTCAAGGTGGAGCAACTTGTGCGTGAATTTCTCTCTGCACAATCTTTAAGCATTCTGCCACAGAATTCTTTCGGGGATGCAGTGTCCCAATTTATCGACAAGGACGACAAGCATGCCATGGAAATGTTCGTGAACGAATCCCTCGAAAACCAGATAAAGCATCTGTTGGACTTGGATCGAGACGGTGGCGTGGATGATGAGGAACAAGACCAAAGCTCGTTGCGGAACGCCATGGAAAAGTACCGGACACAGATGGAAGACATGTTCTCTCGTGGAATCAAAAAGCGTACGAGGGGGAAAAGACGATTCAAGCCCAAACCAGACGGCTGGGACAGTGAGTTTGATGGCGCCTGGGAGGACCAGCCCGGGGCGCTCATTCACTCTGATAACGAAGCCGGTGATCCAAACCAAGAGGACGTTGCCGAAGACGGCGAAAGGCCGACACGGACAGGGACATCGACTCGTGGTCGCGGCCCGGGCCGGGGCCGCGGAGGTCGATCCACTGCAGCCACCGCTAACAGCCGGAAACCCGCGGCTACAACGAAGACCACATCATCAGCTTCCACGAAGGCCGCCCCTGCGAGAACATCCCGAGGCCGTGGAAGGAAAGGAGTATCTGATGATGAAGAGGAGGACGATGTTATCATGCTGGACGACGATGACGAGCCCGATGTGCAGAAAGCGCTCTCCGAGATAGATGAGGACGATGACGATGACTCACAGGCGCTCTTCGTGAAACAACCCACCACCAGAACCCGCAAGACCGCCGAAGCACCAAGTGCTCGTAGTCAACGTCAGAACAAACGAAGCGCACCATCTCCTGCTCCGTCATCAAATACCCTAACCGGAACCGCAACGCGGCAATCGAATGCACGCACCCGAGGCAAGCCGACACAAACGACCCTGAGTTTCACCGAGTCTCAGACATCTCAACCCGCGAGGAGATCAGGTCGCTCAAACAGAGGCGCCAGCCTGGTTAGTGAGGATATCGATGACGATAGTGATGACGATTTTGAAGTAATGCCAAGTTCAAGCACCAGAAGGAGATAAGGTCCGCCTATGGCAGTGGGTTCTGGGCACGCTTTCTATCTTTTCGACCGCCCGGGTCAGCTCATGGAAAGGTTTGCATTGCATTTGGGCGTTCTATGTACATGAAGCGTGGAAGGTTTCATCATACCCAAGTGGGTAATTCAATTACACAACCTAAGTCAGCAAACAACCAGCTGTCGGCAGAAAACCGATTCTGTCTTGGGCAATGGAATAGGTATTGGCCATGATACATAAGACTTTTCTGGGTCGAACATATCCGGGTCCATGGAGTACACATGACTGGTCAATGCAAGGGAGTGAGAACGCCCGTCATGAATATGTTTCTTTGGGGATGCTGCTGCCTGCCCCTCCCGCGGTCACATGAGCCCGACGCAAGGCTGTGAATCATCTTTATGTTGACTTGTCAACGTCCTTTGCTCCAACTTGCTCCATTGCTTCTTGTAATGATACTACATATCCGTTTTCTTCACATCTGCTTTCTGCTACTCCATATTCAGGCCTGTTACTGATTTGGACGGGGAGATATCCTCTCCACAAACAGTCCTTGAACACGAGACTGGGGAGGAGGCATACCATACTCACTATGGATCCACCAAAGACAGCATCTCCAGTCGGCAACAGCTACAGGCCAGAGCGCTTGCAACTGATCCTTGTCAAAGGCGCAGACACGCTGGTGTATATTGACTCTCCACCGCTGACTAGCTCTTGGTCGGCTCTCCCACGCACCACAGAGTCCATTCCGCATCGCATCAACAGCGAGACGCTCTGGGAGACTGGTTCCGCATACTTCGCAGGGCTTCTGCATCCGCGAAACCAGGCACGCACTGTCAAGCGGCGAGGGCTCGCAGGAAAGCTGGATAGCGATATCAAATATGTCCTTGACCTCACGCCTCCTTCCTTAGACGAAGATGCCATCATTTTCTTGACGGAATTATCGTGTCCTCTGGGGATTAGGCTCTGGTCCCGCTATCAGAATCGTTTCAGCCTCCCCTCGTTTCGTGTCGGCGGGCAGGATGAACTCGAGCAGGGTTCGGAATCCGCCCATTGCCCTGCCAGCAAACTTGCGCTTCCAGTCGAATACTCTGCCTCTCGTCATCGAATGGCCATTTACTGGCTGCTCAGGTCCTTTTACAGCTGGACACCGCCACTTGACACTCCCTGCAAGCTCTGGACCTACTTTGCACTGGCCAAGCTGTTCAACGTCGTCATGGTCCCACGGGTCCGCGAGTCCATATTCAACTGGATTAACGAAAGTAATAATACACTCCTCATTGAAAGAAGTCCAGAATCAACATATCGAGTGGCCTGCGCGATGCAGGATATTGATCTCTTACGTGATTCCTTTTCTGTCCTCGTTGGAGAAGAGGCCTTGCTTTTACTAGCCAATTCCGACAAGACTACCAAAGGCAAGCCATCACAGTGCAGCTTTCACGGACGCTTTCGGGAAGAACTAGACGACGAAGAGCTCCAGCGGATTGAATACGCAAGCAAAAGCTTCATGGAGCACGTTATCAACATCTTCCTTTATCTTGCAGGTACTGAAATGACCTGGATCACTAACCTTCCATCCGTTCGCAACATCCTAAACTACAACCCCAAGTCAGAGAACGAGCGTGTCATCGTCTCCAACCTCATTGCCGATCTCAAGACCTTCGTCCGGAAACACATCGTGAATGTCCTGCAGAATGGAGGCTTGACGTGGTTCCCGCAAGCAGGGCTCGTGAAAGCCACGCAAGGAAGCGGCCAGCTGGTCAACCCCACACGGGGCCAGGGATCCCCCATCGACCAAGAATACCCGTCAGAGAAGGCCCTCCATGCGTACGGTGAAATGCGGCCCTTTGAACGCCTGGCTTCGCGAACGTTCTGGAAGGACCTCCTCACCAGACGCACACTCGTCTACAACCCCCCACCCCCAATCATCGACGACAGCGACAACATAACCTCAATCGCCGACATCGCCCCGCACCTCCCAGCCTTCCAAACCCAGCACGACGCAGTCCTCACCCCAATACCCTGGAACCAGATCGGCCAAGCAACCGAGACCTTCAACGCCCTAACCCGCACCACCACCACCACTACAACCACCAACCCACCACCCAACACAGAAGACTCCCCCAGCCCAGAACCCGACACCTTCTCCCTTTGGGAATTCGTCGCCCAAGCCCGCGGCACAATCCAAACCTACAGCACACAACTAGCGGAGCCCCCCCAAACCAGCATCCAATGCCGCATAACAGACACGCTGACGACGCTCACCGACAACGAATACAAGTTCCTCCCGCTGTGGGCGGGGGGCAACGACGACGGCACGGGCGGCGTTTACGCCGACCAGGACATACCGTTTCTCGAGACGGGGGGGTTTTCTACGCCTGGACCGGCTATTCATATGGGGAGTAGCGTAAGTGCGCGCTCTGTGGACTCGTTCGTGTCGATGATTGATGTGCGTGAGGCGGAGAGTACGGTTGGGGGGGCTTCGCGTCGGCCGATGGGTGGGCTTGATAGTGAGGTTTTGTCTGTATCTGAGAGTTCGGTGGGTGGTGGTGGTGAGAATGACACTGGAAATGACGATTGGATGATTGACGACGATGATGATACAGCAGCTAGTGACAGCGATGATACGGTTGTTTTGAGTCTTGCTGATGAGACGGCGTGAGTGACTGGCCACTGACTACCTACCTACCTAGGCAGTTAGACTATACGGGGTGAAGATAGACGTAGGTCTCACTTTTAAAATTTGTGTTAAACTAATAATTATTATATTTATTTATCCATTTATAGATCCATTTATAGATTGATTTGTTTGTATTGACTTCTTTTGACCCTTACGAATAATGACACTCATGATACGATGTATACACAAGCCCATCCCAAGATGGACTCAGACTCACCCATAGTAGAACACCACACAAAGGTAACAATAAATCAATCATTCATTCATCATATAACAATAAAAAAGACAACCAAGGACAACCAAAACCAGCAACAGCCAATCTACTACCCACTCCCTTCCATTGCCGTCGAATATCAATATGAATCAAGTCGCAAGTGAAATGTGCATGCAAAGGCATCCAATGGAATCAGTCGGTCTATCAAATATGTCCTGCTTGGTCTGCTGTGATTCCCTCCATCCTGTAAGGCCGGCATGACTAACATCCATGATACCGTTCCAGAGTAGTTGCGGATGGTGTGTAGGGTGCCGATAGCATGACTATGTAGTTGGTATGTACTGTAGCTGTCACTTTTGAAAAGGGCCAAAAGGGTGGAGCTGGAGCTGATTGGACGACGAAAATAAGGTAAAGATGGGAGTCGGTCCTTTTTTTGTTTTTCTCAGGTGTGTTTTATTTCTCACTTCTTCTTTTCCTCTTTTTCTTTCTTTCTTTTTCTTTTTTTTGGCCTTTTCGTATCAATTGTGAGATATCTCCCATCGTTATAGACATTGTAGCATATTGGCGTCGTTTCGTCTTGGTCGTCAATTTCGACAGTATGGGTATCATTCGGATTCGGATTCGGATTCGGATTCGGAGTTGGATAAATATCAAGAGGGGTGCGGAACAGTATCGATATGGACGGCGAGGTCATCGCGGAGACTTATTATAGAACGGCACTCGTGAGAGCTTCAAATGCCTACGTAATTGGAGGCAGATCCGGGAGCAGGAAGCGGCCATTGTCGAGGACGGTATTCAAGTCGATATGGTCCATAGTGGGCCGGAGGCCCAGGTCCATGACGTCGCGCGCGACAGCCTTAATCTGCCGCATGATAGTCTGGGAGATGGCCCAGGTGCGGGCCAGCGACCTGAAGACGCCGATGGTGAGGGCGAGGCGGTCGCGGCTGGGGTCCGGCATCTGCCCGGCTTTCACGGAGCAGGCGGCCAACTGCACGATGGAGCTGAGGACCAGGGAGCAGATGAAGAAGGGGGTGTGCTTGACGACGGGCATGCGAATGGAGGCGAGCGAGGAGATCTCGCTGGAGGCCTTGACGGCTTTCATGGCGTGGGCGTGGTGCGAGAACGCGGGGATGCTGCACGGTCCGTGGTGGCCGCAGATGACTTCGGCGGCCATCGCGGGGGAGGACAGTAGGTCGGAGCGGGGGAAGTGCAGGTAGATGGAGGCGCCGTTGACGATCATCGTGGCCTGGAACATCATCTCGTCGACGGACCCGTCTGGGCGCAAGAGCTCGGCCTTGGATTCGGGGAGGTGGTGGAACCAGCTGGTGATGCGCGCGTCGATCGCCTCCACGCGGTCCTGCTGGCCCTCGACGATCTCCTGGGTGGCCACGACCCGTAGGAGGATCCGGACGGCTTCAATGCGGTAGGTGAAGGAGGAAAAGTCCCGCTCCTCGTCCGCGAAGACCCTCTCGTCGAACTGCGCGATGGTCGGGGCCGGAGACGGCGGCGCGAGGCCGTCCGCGTAGATTCGTTCTTCGCAGGGCAGCGGGACCTCGAGCGGCACCGCACCGGTGCGCGCGGTGCGCTGCACCCCGAGCGCGGTTAGCATCCCCTCGATGATAAACAGCTCCCACCAGAGGCGCCGCAGGGACTCGGCCCGCACCGGGTCGCCTTCGCTCATCGCCGTCGCGAAACTGGCCGAGTGCAGACCGAGCTCCAGGGCCAGATCGACGGCCATGGTCAGGCACTCGCCCGCTTCAGGGCGCTCGTTGCGCGAGTGGAGGACGATGGCCAGCAGCACGAGCGCCTGCAGCTTCTCGATGGAGGCCTCCTGTCCCATGACGGACGACATGACCGTCGGACGGTAGGGCTCCGGGGAGGCGGCCGGGGTGAAGTGGGCGCCGACGAATTTGATGACATGTTCAAGGTAGGGGGGCACGAAGGAGCGGTAGAGGAGACGCAGCGGGGGGAGGATGGGATGTGCGGGATGGAAGTAGGTGTAGTAGATGTCGACGAGGTAGCCATCGCCGGGGGCGGGGGCGGAACCCGATTCGGGGGTGAGGGGCTGATTGTACAGCCGCAGGGGCTGTTGCGACGGAACGGGGGTGTCAGTGAGGCCCGGGCTGCCCGACGAGGTAGAGGAGAGGGTCGTGGTCGCCGGCGGCGGCGGGGGCGGCGCCATGGGTGGCGCATAAGTGACATGGTTCTGTGGGAGACCCCAGTCGGCGGGGACGTTGAAGAAGCTGGCGGCGAATTGGGGGTCGAAGGACGAGGAGGACAAGTCGGAGGCCAATTGGTCGGGGGAATTGGCGCGTCGCTTCTTCGAGGGGCCCTTGTATCCCCGACGGGAGGGGGTATACTGGCACTCCGCCCCCACGGCTGCACAGCGGCCACAAACCGGGGTCTTTCCATCGCACTTGAGGTGTTTATGCCGGCAGAGGAGACAGGCCAGTAGCGACGGGCCGGCGCCCTTGGGTGGCCCCGAATTCGAGTCGGAGTTGACCGTGGAAAGAAATGGCTCGTCCATTGTGGAGCGTGGAGCTTTAGTGAGAGCTCAAGTTGTGACCGCGGCTGTACAACACAGAGAGAGAATCACGAGGACACGACCAGAGGGAAGAATCGCGTGGACACAATCAGAAAAGAAATGAGGGAAGGGGGTGTATCAGACAAAGTGCGCTGGTCGAATGGCGAAGTGGAACCGAAGCGGGGGAGTGAAACCGAGTAGTAGGAAAGGTTTGGGGGGAAGAAGGGAAGAAGGTCACGACGCGGTATTAATACCCTGGACCAGGAAGCAACAAAAATGATGGATCAAGTCGCACAGATTGGGATGAAAACGACGCAGATGCATACAGGCATGGCCCAGTGTGATTTCTTCCTCATTCAGCATGGGGTGGAATTGAATGATATGACATCAAATGCAGTCCATCCTCAGGGCGTGAGAGGTGGAGAGGCGTGTAGTTCTTTGGGACGGATCAGGAACCTCGTCGGGGACAGCACTAGAGATAGGCTTTCAGATACTCGAGGTCCAACAGAGAAACTCAAAGCAGAGAGGCCAAACGACAGTCACGAAGCTGAAGATGGCGAGGATGATTGGAGAGCGCGAGAACAAAGAGACGTGACGGTTTGTCTGGTTTGTCTGATGACTCAGACGGCGATCGCTCAGCTTATCTGGACCAAACTACAGAGTACAGAGGATGAAGTCAGGACAACAGACAACAAGACCGGACTCATTCCAGTTGCAACAGTCAGTCAACTACAGGTACGTATACTGATCTCCTTAGGTCGACCATCATATATCGATGTTGATCTTCTGGGGTCAATCCATCCAGAACGGAGTCATTTCCCCCGGCTATAACTAACCGACGTGGCTTTTCCAGCCCCATACCTCCCCATCGCGACTGGTCGCATCCCGATATCCACTATCAATTGAACCGACACTCCAACCATTACAGAAGACAAAGGGAAGAAGAAAACAGAGGAACATAAACACCAATTCTAATCAATCAACACAATGATCTCCGACGATGATCTCCACCGCCTCGCCATCTTCCTCGGCTCCTGCGCCATGATCTTGATCATCCTCTACCACTTCCTCGAAGTCAATGCCAAAGACGATGACTCGGAGACGTCTGCCTCAACGATAAACAAGGCCGCTGGTGTGTCGGGGGGGTCGTCTGGTGCGGGGGCTGCGACCGCGGGCGGTTCATCCATCGGTGGTAAAGACAGGTAGTGGTGGTTCTTGGCTTATGGGTTTCTTTTCTCTTCCTTTCAGTTAATGTTGTATTATTCCCTTTCGTGTATTTATCGGAGCGTTCGAAAGTGTCGGTCAGATGACTCCATCAAGTATATCCCCCCGAGGGGCTAATGACGAGGCCCGATGGCAAGCGTATGATCTTGGAAGTATCCGTCCATGCTCAATTCAAGCTAAACCCATCAACATCCCAGAATCGTACACAACAAAGGGGAAATCATAAATTAAAGTACACGAATGCAAGACAATCAAACGCCGTTGACACCGGTGCGACCCAACCCAATGCATACCAGATTGCGAAAGCCACAGTTCCCATAGGCCCATCCGGACAAAACGATCTCCTCTCAAACTCCACACCATGAGTATTCGACCTCCATTTCGTAAACGCCTGATCATTCAACCTCAACCTCGTAGACGCTCTCCTCGGCCGTCAAGTTCGCGTTCCGCGCGGGCGTCGCCAGTTGACATCCGCCGGGATCCAGCCCGACACCAATCCGTTCCTTCTGTTTGCGCACCGCCTTCAGAATCCCCTCGGCTCGGTCACGCTGCGTGCTATTGCCATGGACCTTATTGTAGGCGCGAATGGAGCTGAAGCTGGCCGGGAAGATGAGCGCATCCTCGCCTTTGGACTGATTGGAATTGGGGATGGGGACGGGGGTCTCCCCGACATCACTGCCCACTAGATGATACAACAAGATCAGATCATTAACGTAAGTTCCTTCGAGCTCCCCCGCAAGCCATGATCAAGACGCTTTCTCACCAGGTCCAGTCACCGACGGCCCATCACCTTGTTTCCAGGCGATGGAGTCCAGGTGCGCCGTCTTGATGTGTTCGAACAGCTGCCACGCCGGCAGGTGTTCTTCGAACGTGCAACCCTTCCACGCGCAGCTGATAGAATAGGGCACGTGGAGCTTCAGCACATGTTTTCGTAGCATCTCCAAGTTGTGTAATTCGGCTTGACAGTTCTGCCACCGACACGCGTACACCTGATACGATACCGGTAGGGGAGGTGGCACGACCATCGGAACCTTGGTGCTTCCGGATGGCCGCCCAGGCGGTCGGCCGACTGGCCTTTTGCCCGGTGGTCTCCCCATCTCCACGATCGGCGTCGGGAGGTGTACCTCGGGCTTCGGGTACGGCTGCGGAGGTGTAGGTGCAGGTGCCTGAGGAACAGGCTGGGGCGAGGGCTGTGACTTGCGTTGGGGCTTGGATTGGGGTGTGGACTGGGGCTTGGGCTGGGGTTTGGGTTGGGGCGTAGGTTGCGATTTGGGTTGGGGCGTAGATTGTGGTTTGGGTGGGGATGGGGGGTGCGTGTAGGGTTGTGGTATCGGTTGTGGCAGTGGTGACTGGGAGGCAGGCACGGGGGTGAAGTTTTGTCGTTGCTGAGCGTGCTGGGGAGGTTGGTGTGTCGAAAGTTTCCAAACATCGACCGTGGGCAACGGCGGCGTGGGTTGCGCGGCGGGAAGCTGGGGCGGGACCGCGGAGGTCTCTGGTCGGGGCGCGGACGCGTTCTGGTCACGTGTTTCGTCAGGGACGGGATCGACCAAATCCCACCGGAAGGTCGACAGATCGGACGACGTATCAATGTGAGTGAACACGTCGCGCAAACGGGAGAGATGGTGGTTCAGAGCAGCCTCCTTCGGGTGACGGCCCGCAGAAATCAAGACGTCCCTCGCAATCGTTTTAGGATCATAGGTCGTCTTTTTCATCCCATCGCTCGTCGTGAGACGTTTGGCCATGTCCACGCGGTCTTTGAGGAAGCGCTTATTATTGGGATCGCGCGGCGCGTAAGAATATGCGGTGAACTTGCCGCCGGGGCTTGGTTGCCCGCTGGGTGGTCCGCCAGCTGGTTTGACCAAACTCCCCGCGGTGCCATTCACCGAATCCATAGCCCTGTACAATCCTGTCTTGGGCGGAACTTGAGATGCCGAGTGACCCACAGGATCTAAGTGAGGTCGCGACTTGGATATGCAAAGCCTCTTTGCGGCGCGCGCGGCTTCCATATCCGCTGCTATGCCCCCCTCTCGCGGAATATAGGACGGTAGCGGTGATTGTTCCGGAGCCGAGAAAATTGGAAAGTGTTGAGCAGGAGGATATGAAGGAGCCGAAGCTGGCAGATTTGTAGAGCGTGGGAGGTGGTGCACTGGCGCTTGGTAGGGGCTGTGGGTGGGAACAGCGGGCGGCAATTGGTAGCTATTCTGTGATCTCACGGAGCTCTCGCCAGCAAAGTGTTCGGGGTGGTGCTGCGCCGTGACATATCCGTCGTTGATATTATGCTGGAATTGCGCGCTCGGTGGGATCATCCTCGCCGGTGCATATTGCGTAGGTGGTGGTGGATGAGGCTGGTTTGTGGGCGCTTGCAACGTGGAAGGTGTTGTGTATGGCGACGAGTAACCAGGGGTGGGTTCACCGGAAGAAGCTTCATTGCCCATAGACCTCTGGAGGTAGTCATCAAGCCGATCAAAGCCCGCAAGCCAGTTATAGTCGTCGTTCGCCATGTTGAGCTGTCAATGGCACCGTGCAAGCCAGCGGTCTGGTCAAAACGCGAATCGAAGTACACGCCCTCGAAGGATCATCCTGGAGGGCAGAGAAGTGTGAAAAGAGAAGAGTATTGAAGAGGTAGAAGCGGTGACAGCAGATTCCACAAGGAACCTATAACCCTTTGGTTCCGACCATCATTCGGTTGAAAACAAGTAACGCGACAGTAGACTGTTGGCGCATCGAAGCCTCGACGATCTTCGGGCGATAAGCCGAACCCCCGGGCGGTGAGCGAGTAACTCCGGATGACAAAGCCCTAGCCGACACGCGGTCATGTGACGCACGGATTCAGGTGACCTCCGCGAAAGTTTCCTTCCTTACTTCTCTCAACAACAACACGCTTCCATGCTCTCGTCCATGGAGAGATGCACAACAAATGAGTCTGCTGGATTTGACATCCACCATGGTCAACGACTGAAATATCTCCATACATGAGACTACGAACTCTCTACTTCAGTGGTTTTATCTGTTGCAATAGGGAAGAGGACTCAATAATGACCTCGAGCTCCTCCAGTCACTTTGCAAATCAGACGTCTGCTACGAATCAAAGAATGACCAAGATTGACTTCATCCAACTTGCGTCTCACTTCTTTGATAATGCCCACCCTCTCGACTCATCCACATATTGGAAGCGTTCCTCTTACGCGAACCAGCACCCAACAACCCCTACCCCCCTCCCAAACCCCCAACATACCCGCCAGATTATCACCTCGTCAATCCCGTCTTCGGACGACCCTAAAATGGTTGAAGAGTTAAATGACTGGCGAATAACAAATCACAGAAATCACGGCTGGTTCTGCCGGCCGTGGATTCTGCCTCGCTTGCAGACTCGCACTGAGCACTAGCTATGACGCTGCGGGTTTGAAAGTGAGATACATATCTATCGTATACTATACGACTTGTAGAATGAGTCTATGGGCTGGCGTCTTTTATAGAATCTAGATATATGAACCAATTGAGATAATTATACTGTACAGTCGAACGAAATAGATATGTAGTATCGTGTAATCTCTCGCCATCCTTGAATGGGACTGGTGAATATCGACGTTATAATACAAAGAAAAGACCAACCAGCTAACTTGCGAAAATGCGGATATCACGAACTGAATCGGCGGAACGGTATTCCCACCGCGCTATGGAAATCGCGATCACGATCAAACAAACAGACCAAGCACTTAGCATCAACGTGAGCAAAAAGATTAAAACCCCATGCACATTGCACAGCATACTTTACTCACTGTGGCCCACACACCTACCCCAGGCCGGCAGTCCGCACCCCATGCCCACAAACAGGTACATGAGGAAGATAACGACCACAACCAGCAGCACCATGAGCTTAATATTCTTCCACCACATACGCCTCCGCAGCCCACGACTCCGCAGGCGGAAGTCATGCGCATTGCCGCCCAACCGATCCGTCTTATCAACAAGCAGATCGATGCGCTCGCCGCGCTCCAGCACTCGCTCAATATTCTCCGTCATAATATCACGCACGCTATCGATTTCGCGACGGGCAGAGGCAAGCGAGTCAGACGGCGGGGCGGTATTATACGTCTGGAGCAGCGCGCGCAGGTCGGTATTAAAAGCGGCGCAGCCGTAAGCGGGGAGGGAGGAGAAGTCCGTGGTGTTGGGGGGGTAGGCGGCTAGGAACTTGCGCTTCATTTCGAGGAGGAAGGCGAAGGGGATGCGGCGGCCTTGTTCGGCGGTTGCGACGACGATGAAGCTCAGCGGGGCGTAGGAGTTGACCTCCTGGCGGCTGATGTCTTCGGTGGACCCTGTGGGCGAGTCGGCGATGTAGTGCACGAAGAGGCGGTCGTGGGTGAAGGTGAGCTTCTGGCATTTGTCGTGGGTGATCTTGGGGAGGATGATGGAGGCGAGGGATGAGGCGGAGGTTGAGGAGCTTCCTGGGGCGGAGTGTTCGGCCAGGATGGTGGTGCGGTTGGCGATGCAGGTGCTTCATTTAGATGTTAGCTTTCATGCAGTAGGATTGGATGATGTTTATTCGGTGCGCAACGTACTAGAGCAGGGAGCTCGGGGCTTGGATGACGAGGCCATGATGAGAGATGCCTAGGGCCTGCCTAGGGAACAAGATATCGGTTTGGATGTGACGCGACGCGAGACTAGTAAATAAATTCAGAGAACAAGGTGGTTTTGATCTCGTCGTAATCTATTGCAAAGACAAATCACAACTGGGATGTTGAAGTTGAAGAAAATACTAAAGTGAATTAGCTCAGGAAGTTAGTTTCGTGACGTCGCCGCCAAGATCCCCGGATTCGGTCACGTGATGGTAGCTGTCATACATTTGGCATTCTTGGGAATTGTATATTATGTGGATCAGGTATTTAATAGGTTTCAGGTTCATTGCGTCCATGCATGTCCCCTCTAGCAGTGATCAAGAATCTCAGGACAGATACTACCGCATAACCAATATCATCAATATGCCTATGGGACACCAAATCAGACGAAACAAAGAAAACAAAGTGGGCCATAATGTATCTATTTTATTTAGTTACCTGCAATAATCAACCAAGCAGAATGCCCGCGTATGCTCGCCAAGACAGTATGAAAAAAAAAAAAAAAAAAAAAAAAGCCAACCAGCCAGCACCGCAATTCTATAAGGAAAGACAAGATGGTATCATGCGAATGACGGAAAAGAACAGAGAAAAAAAGCTGCGTGGCACAAGGAGCGTAAATTTCGTATCAAAACCCAAGGAAAGGAAGGAAGATTGAGTATCAAAGATAAAAAGGAGCGTTCATGCCCCATCAAAAGGAACTCCAAACTCCCGCATGGCGTCGGCCCGACGCGAGACGACATCCTCGCGATGGACGACGTTTCGCAAGGCCTCACTAGCCTGGATCAGGCCATCGATGCTGATCGCGTGGTTGGTCATTTGATGGTTGATATATGTGTATAGCTCGGCGGACGTGGTGCACGTGGTCAGGAGTTGCTGCTCGTTGAGCTTCAGGAGCGCTAAGGCAACTTGGAACAAGAATGTGCTCCCGCCGCCGCTTCCAGATGCAAGGTCCTGCGCTCGAGACGTGGAAGAGTCTTTAGATTCGCGGGGCCCGGACGCCGAATTCGTGCCAGTCGGTGTTGGGCTTACCACGCTGGTGACATTGAGACAGAGGACAACGTCCCAGACGCGATATAATGCCTCCGCTGATAGACAGTCGGTGAAGACCGACAGGAACCACTGGAAGGTCAGCGCTTCGAGCTCGACCCCCAGCGACTCGAGGTGCGCCGAGAGCTTGGGCAGCACTTGGGAGATATACTGGCGTAGCACCATTTGGTCCGCGCGTGACGCGAGGAGACCATGGTCGTAGTAATGCTGCGGGAGGATAACCTCGATCATGGAGGTGAGAAGCCAGAAGGTGTCTTCAGCGGTGGGTGTGATCAAAAGGAGTGATGCAGCGATGAGATTCATGCCCTGACAGTAACCCACCTCCGGATTGCGACGCGAGTACGCAAGGAGAACTTCTTTGAGTTTGGCGACACCGGGCCCTTTGCGGAAGAACACATTGTCGGTCAAGGTTCGGTTGATATCCATGTCGATTTGGGCAACAACCGACGGGTCGGGTTCACTGCCGCCGATCCCCTTTGTAAGGTCGTCGTAGTAGCCCGGAACCCGCATGGACGATGCGCCACTGCACTCGGACCAAACCTTTGCTCTCAGGGCAACGGGGACACCACCGAGAACGAGTGACCGGAACTCGCGCCATTTGGCACGCCCGACCTTGCCCTTATTGCCCAGACCGGCGATACCCACTACTTCACCGTCCGCCAAAGAAACTTCGGGCATATCGACAGATTGCAATGGCCGATCAGCGGCGGCCGCCGCTGCCGCTGCCGCCTCCCCATCTTTTCGCCGCTCTGCGCGCACTTTGCGCAGGAACTCGTTCCATTTAACTGTCTTATCTCGCTGCAGTGAGTCGTGGAGGTCACTCAGCTGCTCAAGGAGTAACTTGACCGGCTCGTTCTCGTTTGTAGCCAGTGTCACAGCAGCGGAAGGCTTGTCGCCATTGTTGGTTCCCGAGAACTCTGGGCGATCCGCGGTCACAGTAGAGGTAGAGGCTGATGGCTCGGAGTTTTGATTGACAGCTAGTGAGCCCCGTTTGTCCACTGCTACTGCTGTACCTCGCTTACCCTCACCCTCGCCAGTAGTTAACGACACTATAGGACCGACGGACGGGGTATGTGAAAGGAGTTCGGCCGGCCCCGTGGGCATCCTCAAATAATCCTGCCATCTGCGGTGTGAACTGTCACCGCTCTCTTGATCGTCCGGCGTCGCGAGGCCGGGAGAGCGCGCTGAACTTGAACTGGAGTCCAACTGTCTGTCATCATCGCCATCCGAGGCGTCACTTCGAAAGCTGCTGATGGTCTCCGTCACGCTGAAGCGATGGCCACCGTTCTTGAGCTTGCTCGCCTCCCTTTGCCTCTTCTTGCGGCGTTGGTCGTAGATAAACCCAAATCGATCTGTTAACAAATCGCTTGACTGGTAATTATTGAACGTGGGGGTAAGCGTCGGGGGTCTCGATTCCAAGGGAAGAATCGCATCCATTTCGACAGGACCAAGATTGGCTTCATGTTTGCCTGTGTTCTCCGAGCTCGCCCCTTGCGAGACGCTCGTAGCTGCGAGTCTGCGACCGGCCTGGCCAGTCTTGAGGCCCGCTGAACCCGGTCCATTTGCTGATCTACTAGCCGCAGCCTGCAAATTTGGCATATCCGTGCCGCTATTGATGCGTTTGAGGGAAGCTACTGCGGAGAGGCCCCCTTTCGTATTGGCAGCCGCAGATGTATCTCCCTTTCCTTTGCCCCGGGTGGCTGAGGGCGCACTACTGCGGGTTGATTCGCCGGTGCCGTCGTCTTTATTGGCCTGGGAGTTTCCAGCAAACAGTTTGACTGTCCACGAAGACAGAGACTTGGAAGATTTGCGCGAATGCAGGCTAGCGCTATCAGCGTTGCCCGTACTACTCGTAGCTGCTTCCTCGGTACCAGGGCTAATCCGCCCTTCTGGAGGTTGGAAGAGCTGGTCGTCGAGACCCTTGCGACGGGCCGATGCAACTGTGAGGTTCTGCTGTCGCTGGGTGTCTTCTTCGGCTTCTCCAACGTCACCCATGACGCTGCTTGCGCGACTCGACTTACGACCGTTCGCGTTGCCCCCGAATATATAATCCTGCCAGTTGCGGAGTGAAGTCTGTCTCTTCCTTGCCGTGCCGGATGCACTATTGGTCGTGTCGGATCGTGCATCGCCTTCGAGACGGGGCCCGCGAACAGTCGATTGCGACGTGGACATGGGGCCTGGGACTTCCTCGGGGAAAGAACCGACATCATCGGCCATGGCTTGCTGCATCAGTCCGTGCATCGCGGCTGACGGATTCGCCTGTTCCATGCTATCAGCCCCACCAGGGTGGTCCTTCTCGCCCCGCTTTGCCGAGTAGTCCAGAGTATACAGCCGACGCTCAATATCCTGATTCGACACCGACACCTCCCGCAGCATCCTCTTCAATTCCCTTTCCCTCGCATCAGCACGCTGGCGCAAGGTCGAGATCTCCGAGTCACGCTGCGCCAGATCACGCGCAAACTGCCGGACCAACTTCACCGCCCCGGTGTTTGAAATCAAGCGCTCGATATGGGCATCATCGGCCAGGTGCAGAGCCCCGGGGAAGTCGTTAGCCGGAGGGGCATCATCGAACAGCGCCGCACGGCCAGAATTCTGAGACATATTGCTCGTCAACCTCGCCAGCGTGGATTTCCGGTCCCGACTGGAATCTCTGCCGCTGTCGCCTCCTACACTGGTATTACTGGCACCACCGGTGCTGTTCGCATCTCCTCCGTCCAGCAGCGCGTTCGTCAGGGCTCGGTTCAGCGCCGGCTGGCCGGTGAAGCCCTCGGGGGATCGATCGGGGGATAGCGAGGGGAAGGAGGTGAGGTCGGTGGCGATGGAGGAGGTAGCGGAGAGGCGTTTCTGGGGCTTTGCGCGGACGGTCCTAGCCTTTTGACTGTGTCGAGAGGAGGAGGACGTCCGGGAGGAAGAACGCTGCAGGGTGTGCTGGACTTCGCACTCCGCCATGGCTCGTGGGGCAGTGGATGGGGCAGGTGAGTGCGGGCGTCATGAAGTTTGCGGAGTACGTTGATTGTGAGAAGATAGATAGACGAAGCTCGGGCCGGACAGTAGAAAGGGAAGTTGTGTGATCTCGACGACAGCAGTGGGCGAAATTTATCAATCAGTAAGGTCCTTCCTCCGTCAGTTCCGCCGCGTTGTGGACGGTAATCCGAGTAGGTATACTGTCCTCGTACTTCAACGATCACAAAACGACCACTGGGCAGCAGGTACAGTCACCACGGTCCAAAGCAGTTCAAAAAGCAGAACGTCGAGAGCAGCTGGAATAGCGGATGCTTGTTTGAACCCAATTGGCAAGATCAGGTATGCAATCGCCATGACGTGGGGAGTGACCGCTGAGTCATGGCCGGATCAGGTTAGCTTGGCTGTCAGTGCCTGAGGCGTGCACCTGCCTCAGGCTGCTGTTCATGTAATCGATCACCTGATATCAGCCTCGGCTCCCCGCATAACCGAGCTGTATCGAAGCTGGAGAGGGGATGGCAGAGAGGAGAAAGGAGGAGATGACACGGAATAAAGTGTCTGCAGTACTCTCCTTGTCTGATAAACAATTGATCTTTTGAAATATTGCAATATCGCATAATACTGTGTATATCCTGTCATCATGCCCTTCTCAGCCAAACAGCGTCTCCAGGCCCTGAGCCAGCAGCTTGCCGAGGGCATTCCTGATGCCGGCAAGTTTGAGGATATTCCTCGCATTCGCCAGGTGGCGCAGGATTCAGTTGGACCGTGAGTATCATTGGGGTGAAGGTATAGATAGCAGCTAACTCTGCGAAGCCGTGTCAAAGACAAGGTCGTTATCGTTACGGGTAAGTTACCACCATCCCCTACTTCCAACCTATACATCTCCCAATCTACTTACCTACTTACCTACTTACCAACCTGCCTACCTGTCTACCTTCCTATCTACCTATCTACTACCCACACACATGCATCCAAAATACGCAATCCTTTAAGAAATACGAGCCCAAAACTAACAACCCAGGAACCAACTCCCCCGCCGGAATCGGCCGCGCCAGCGCACACCAATACGCGCACAACGGCGCCAAAGCCGTCTACATCTGCGACTTCGACTCCACACATCTCGCAACTCACAAACGCGAGATCGAGTCCCTGTACCCGGGCGTGGACGTCCACACGCGGCAGTTCGACGCGGCCAACGAGGAAGCCGTGAAGGCTGTTGTCGCCGATGCGCTGCAGAAGTACGGCCGGCTGGACGTGTTCTTCGCGAATGCGGGCATCGTCGGGCAGCCGGTTGCGTTTACGGATATGAGTGCGGAGGGGTTTGCTAAGACGATGAACACTAATACTATCAGGTTTGTCTTCCCCTCCCACTTTCTGTTCTATATCAAGAAGGGAATATCCATTCCAGCATGGAAGAACCACAACAGGAAAAAGGATAACTAAGTAATATAAAGCGTCTTCCTCGCCGCCAAACACGCCTCCCTCGCCATGCGCCAAACCTCCCCATCCAAGCCCTACCCATCAGGCTCCATAATCTGCACGGCCTCAGTAGCAGGCCTTCGCTCGAACGCCGGCTCAACAGACTACTCCGCCTCCAAGGCTGCCGTCGTCTCCATCGCGCAAACCATCTCCTACCAGCTCGGCGGGTCCGGCATCCGGATCAACGCCATCTGCCCGGGTCTGATCGAAACCGGCATGACGCAGAGCGTGTTCGACCGGGCGAGGGAGCGCGGCACGGAGCGCAAGGTTGGACAACTGAATCCGCTGCAGCGGGGTGCGGTGGCTGATGAGGTTGCGCGGGTGGCGCTTTTCTTGGGCAGTGATGAGAGTAGTTATGTTAATGGGCAGGCTTGGGCGGTTTGTGGGGGGCTGAGTGCGGGACATCCGGTTGTTCCTGGGAAGTTGGCTTAGTTTGTTTATTTCTCTGGGTACGGAGTACGGAGTACTCCGTGGTGCCTACCCATATACTATATACCTCGTACTTCCTACTTATTGTTGTATATGTCAAGTGCGATACCATGGATATATACGTACAGTGGAGCCAGACTCAATTGGCAGATACGTTCAACACTATATCAACTACAAGCAGGTCTACGACAAGTCCAGAATGAAATCAAGTATACACTATCCAATGGTACGGACAAGAGACGCTCTCAAAGCAGCCCCTTCCAAAGCTATAGACAAGACAAAAGGAAAATAGAAAGATAAGAAAATGAGAAGACAGTAAGAAACACCAGAGGGTGAGGACAGGCCCGGGAGCCAAGATAGCTCTAAAATAGAAAGGTGAAAACAACCCAGCAGTCTGGAAAGAGACAGAAGGAAATAAAAGAAAAAAAGGTGAAGGACGAGCTTGTGCCATATCACAAGTCTGACAATAATACAACCCTATCAAAAGGGTAGATCAAGAAGAGTAAATAATCCTCCACTAGAGTTAATCGAGTCTCTTCCGGGTAATAGCGCAAAGGCAAAGAGGCGTAAGTGGGAATATCCAAACAGAAGAAAAGAAAAGGTATAATGAAGACAAAACTTCAAAAATAAAAAGATAAAAAAAAAAAACAAAAGATAGAAAAAAAGTGCTACTGCACAACTCGCTCGAATTAAAACGGAGGAGCAGATGTCGTGTCAAACTCGTTGAATACAACCGTTGCATCATCGAATGATGTCCCGATTATGCGACCATGCGAGGGTTGCTGGCCCGCATGAGGTTCTCACTGTTCTGCTTGGACAGCGATCCGCTGGCGGTGTGGTCGTCCAGACCGTCGGTCTCGTGAGCATGCTCGTCGTCGTCCTCGACGATCCGGGTCGGGATCTCACCCGGCCCGTACTGTTGGCTCGAGCGCTCCGGGAAGGTCGAGCTGCTCATCATCGACATCGACGTGCTGGAGCGGTTGTGCACCAGGTCGGGCGTGGGGGGCACGCTGGAGCCGCGGTGGTCGGGGTGCAGCGAGTGGTTGTCGCCGTCGCCCATCTCACTGCCGTCGCGGGTCGACCGGCCGTCCAGCGTGTCGCTGGGGGCCAGACGGCTGTCGCTGCGCTCGATCTTGGCCGAGTCTTCGTCGTCCTCGGCGTCCTGGGCGAGCTGGAGGCCCTCCACGGCGGCGGCGCACTGCTCGCTGATGCTGCGGATGATGTCCGAGATCGAATCCGTCTTGTCGCGCAGGTAGCGATCCGCGACATCGGTGATGCTGAGACGGGCGAGGCGGTTGCTGCCACTGCCCATGCTCAGGAGGTGCTGCTCGAGCTCGGGGGTCATGTTCGGCATCGCCTTGGTGGGCGTCTCCGACGCGGGGCGCGAGGGGGTCGACTCCCGCGGGGTCTCGATGTCGGCCTGGACCTCCTTGGTCTTCTCGACGGCGGCCTCCTGCGTGGCGAGTTCCTGCAGCTCGGTGGCGCTGCCGATGGAGCGAACAATGTGCTCCATGTGGTGCGACTGCCCGTTGATGAGGCTGCGCAGGTGCAAGACGACGCGCTGCGCGTCGTCGCGCTGGCGTGCCAGCGACGAGTTGGTGTGCTGCAGCGAGGAGAGCTCGTTCTGGTTGCGCTTGCGCTCCCGCTCGAGCTCCTCGGCAATCTCCTGCTGGAGGACCAGGGCCTCGAGCGCGTCGTCGCGCTGCTTCTCGGTGCCCGACAGACGGAGCGTGAGACGCGCCACGTCGTCCTTCTGCTGATCGATCATGCCGCTGAGGCGGCGGTTCTCGCGCTTGTGGGTCTCGATCTTGACCTTGAGCTCCGAGGTCTCCTTGGTGAGCTGCTCGGCGAAGGCCTGGAACTTGAGGAACTGCTGCTTCCAGGTCTCGAGCTCCTCGACCAGGAAGTTGTTGCGCTTGGTGACCTTGCCGATCTCGGTGTCCATGCGTCCCTTGAGGTTGATGAAATCCTGCCAGGCCTCCATGGCGTCGCGGGAGTACTGGTTGCGCTCGCGCACGATCTCGTTGAGGTGGCGCATCGAGACCTTGGTCATGAGGGGCTTCTTGACGGAGCCGCCGAAGATGGCCTTCATGCCGGTGTTGCGGCCCAGCTTCTCGCACACGTGGTCCATGATTCCCATGACGGAGTCCTGGTTCCACCACTCGGGCTCCTGGACGCTCTCCACCTCCCCGCGCATGACGATGATCTGTCCGGCGGGGATGAGTTTGCCGCCGGCATAGGCCGAGCGCAGATGGGGCGGGACGCCGGTCGGGGTGATGTCACCGTTCAACGCCTGCGTCAACCGGTTGATGAACTTGGTACGCTGGCCCGGGTTCAGCACGTTGGGCGGGCTCGAGGTGAGCACAAAGTTCCGATCCAGGTCAACGACCAGAGCATCCGAGGGGGCGTTGAAGAGCGTGCGGCATTCCGCCGTCACACCGAGGATGTACGGGCCGGGCTCTTGCACCAGTTCCTTGATGTGGCGGGCGTGCACCATCGGGACGTACAGGCCACTCCATTCGTAGACCCGCACACAATAGCGAATCGTCTCGGCGGCGATGGTGAGCATGGCGGAGTAGTGACTGACGAAGATGATGCGACGAGTGGGGGACACGGCCGCCTCGATAACGCCCACGATGTTGGGGATCGACAGGCAGTTGAACAGGGGCCACATGGAGAAGTTCTGGAAACCGGTGGGCGACGAGGGGAACTGGTAGCACAGGGCATAATCTTTCATGTCGATGCGGACCAGGTCATTCAGACGCGGGGCGGGGAAGCTCAGGATGCGGGACACCTCTTCGGCGTGGAAGAGGTTGGTGGCCTTGTTCCAATGGATCCACATGCCACGCAGGTAGTCGCCCAGGAGGTCGTAGAGAGGGTATCGCGAGAGGAAGCTCAAGCAGTAGGGGATCCAGTAGGTCTCGTCGGGGCTGTCGTAGTAATCCGATTCAGTCTTCTTTCGCAGTTCGCGGATGGTTTCGGCGCGCTTCTCGTCGGCCCGCGACCACACCCGGAGGGCGATACCGTAGAGAGTGTGGGAGGAGTCCTGCTGCAGGACGAAAGCGTGGTGAACGCAGTGCGGCTGGCTCTTGCCAGTGCAGATTTCGACATCATGGGGGAAACAGGCCTGTTCTGTCAGTCATATTTCCCTTCTCTCCGCTTTCTTCGTGAGAGTCACAAAAAAAAAAAAAAAAAAAAAAAAAAAAAAAATTTAGGGGACATACCCGCATCGCCGAGTGCAAGGACTTGGCCACTTCATTGTCCTGTTCCAGACGGGGACTGCTCCCCAGAATCTCAGGCAGCCAGAACTGACCGACGGCACCTTTCATATGACCGATCTTGCCCTGAGCGGGAGCGGGGGCCTTGACCCATTGGGAGGGTTCGCGGCCCACGCCGCAGACCATGTAGGCATGGGTGAGGGTCTTGGGGGTGCGCTGGGCGGGTTTGGCATTCATTTGCGAAGGGATAGGCTGGGTGATGCGGGAGTGAAGCGAGGAGGTGCGACTAGGAACGACCAGCGAATTTTCTCCTTGATCGCGAGTGACGGGGCGGTCGCGGGTGGACGGACGGGTGATGTGGTCTCTCAGAGACGGACTCATGATGATGGCAAGGTCCCAAGGAACGGACGAACTAGCGTGTGGGTAGGGACCGTATATAGTTTTCTTTTTCTTCTCTCAGAATTCAAGTCCTCAACCGCAGGTTATGAGGAACAGGGTAGGTTGATATCGAGTGAAGGCGAAGGACAGATACAACCCCAAGAGGTATAGGGATTGAACATTAGCTGGACAGGAGGGAGTTTTCCTGACAGCAATTGTAGCACTGCTAAAGATGTCTCTTCGACAGTCGAATAAGACAAAAAAAATAAAAAATAAAAATAAAAAAGAATGAAAAAGGGGTGGGGATGCAGTGGGTAAAGAGAGAGAGAACCGACGGCACGAGTCGAGACCAAACACAGAGAAGGATGGGAACACTAGACGGTGATGAACATTTCCCAGGCTAATCAACACGTCTTGTAAAACCGAGGCTCAAAGACGGGGAGAAGCGAGGAAGATGTCTCTGACCGTGGGTGAATGGAGAGATGGGGAGGGGGTAGTGAGAAGAAGAGGAAGAGGAGGGAGAGGGGAAGTAGAGAGGAGGAGAGCGAGAAGGGGAAAAGTATAGGGGTTGGTTGCTTAATACGGGATAGTAATGAGGAGAGGAAACTTAATTCTGGACGGGTACTTCTCTGCAGTAGCGAACTCCCAACTAAGGAGGTACCTCAGACGGAGATAAGCCAGTCCCACGTATTGGTTGGAACGGTGGGAGACACTAATGTTTCCCCACTAAACCTCGTTGGTTTGGTGGATCTGATTTAGTATTGACTAGGTTGGTTCTTGACGCTTTCTTTGATTGTTTTTGTTCGCTCTGGTTTCCAGAGTATAACGGACGCGCATATGGATCCACATGATATATTCATATAATATACGGCGTAATATACTATATAAATAACTATTAAATTACCTCCATCGGATCTCACATCCCAGTCGGTACCTCAGAATCTCACCATGCAGGTACTCGCGGATGAACACCCTGAACCAATCCATCATCCATTACCCCTGGGCCCGTGCGCAGAGTAAGAAACTGGAAGAACCACTTGAGAACCAGGTCAGAACAGGCAGACCGCTAGACTCCGAACCGGTTTCTCGACGGGGCGGCTCGGCGTCGCCTCTGTTTCCCACGCGAGAATGGATCTTCCCACGAGCCTTGAACCAACCAAGGGGATGGAAGGAATGGAATGGACGGGAAATGGACGGGAATGGTCGAGGAATATGACAAATAGCTGGGGAACGGTGGATGCTCCTTGATCTGGTCAAATTATTATTCTTTTTTTCATACCCACACCCCCTCTTCAATCTTCCCTGTTGGGCATGGCTAACTACCGACTGGGCTAGGCTGCTGGATTGGACGGTAGAGTCGGCTCGCCATTTACAGTGCACTGAACAAGGAAGGGATTCCTTCCTTCCCTTTCTTGTTGGTTCGTCTTATAGAACAACACGACGACTGATGCGAGGAATCTGCATCTCTTGCAGTGACTTTGTCCGGACAATGCACCGGCATTGATCCTGCAAGGGGAAACCATCCCACCTTTTCGGATTGTTATTTGCTGACATGACACCAAAGACAGGATCTCCGGTGGGAGGTGGCAAATGGCAATGCTGAAGGCAGGCAGAGATCTCAAGCAGCCAGGGATAGAGCACTGGACAGTGGGAGGCCCGGTCGGGGTTTTCCGACCGACGATCTTCATTTGCATGGACTGGCTGCAGTTCCTGTTCGTGCTCGCTATGCAGCGATGACTATTCTGGTGGCTAGACATCCCTGTTTGATTCAGCCTTGATATTTCATATGGTAGCAACCATCCAAGCCTGTGAGTGCCTTGGGGAATCATTTGATACAATACCTAGGGATGGGGATGAAGTAAGAATAAGGTAGGGAGAAGAATTCAGACGAGAAGAAGTTAGAATTCCAACCAGCCTCGTTCCAACCCATCCAGACCGAAACCAGGAATCGCAACGATTGACACAATCGCCTTATGACATTCTTCCAGTGTAACCATCTCCTCCAAAACAGAGCCAACCCGAAGGATCAACCCTCCACAATGCAACCCATCAGAATAGTAGACAGTAATCCTACCACTGATTCAGTCACTCAGCCCGTAAGAAGGCTGAAGCGACCGACCGCGCGTTTTCTCCCGTCTCTCGCCCAGATCCACCGTAGCGAGTCATATAGGAGGATCGATCCTACAAGACACCACCGCCAATTTCGAATCATGTGGCTGTCATCAATCGAGATACTTGCTGAATCCGACGCACTCCGTATATACTGTATAGAGTAGTAGAAGCATGTCGATCTCACATGGACGCCTCCCCCCTTCCCCATTAAGGGACCTTCTCCACGGATCTGATCGAGCAGACGCACGGTAAAATGAATCGTATCGATCTCGTTCCCTCCCGAGGCAGCTGAGGGAAGGCAAACACATGGATCGATGTACTATTCTTAGTGATTCTGTTAGACCTCCACAACGAGATACTGTCAGGGGAAGAAGGGTAGATATGTCGCATGACGCATTGCCTCTCTACCTTCAGCTAGAAGTACTGCGTAAGTTCGTACACAGAATAAGAAGAGAGAAGAAAGTGGATCAAGGCAATCGTGGAGCAGACTGCAACCACGGTTGACGAAGTTTGGTATTGATTCCTGATTAGTTACAGTAGTACTTAGTAGGGGGAAGACGGGAAATAACCACGGTCAGCTACCGTCACCCGCATCCAGATGTAGAATTCGATCGGATGAGCGGGTCAGAACCATGGAACGGAGCTGATAGTTTTGATCGGAATTGTAGAATCCGGATGTGCTAAATTTGAGAAATCTGGTCTGGTCTTGATCAAAGCTGAAGGTCTGGACAGTTCAGTAGACTCTACTCTTGTCTATTCCTGAGTAATGGGTGTCATTGTTCCATCGTGCACTATTGCTATCATTCCTCATGGCTGTCTGTCACTATCCCTGAATGAATCTACGAGTGCTCAGCCAGCCTGCCTTTGCGAGTCATGGTCGTCGGGCTAGATCAATGGTATCCAATAAATCATCTACTATGGAAACACTCTAATTATATTCATGATACATTATACCATCCAATACACCATCACCATTGGAACCACAATAAGAATCAACGGTGGTTGGGTTATGCGTATCACTTGGGATGTCCTCATTGTATCCTATCGCGATCTGGCTAATAGCGACCAGTAGACAATAGTACTGATTTTTTTTTATCCCTACCATCTTCTGTCATACACCCTACAGTTATTGAGACACAGGGAAGGTTCGTACATGTTATGGAAATACCCACAATCAACACAATCAAATACGGAGTACTCCGTACTTCGTACTTCGTACCCAAAAAGAAAGAAGAAAAGAAACCTCAACTGTCAACCCCCGAACAAAATAAAATCCCCGACATCATTCCTTGCATGTCTCTCCCCAATCCCCCCCGAAGCAACACACCAAAACCGCCCAGAATGGCCGACCCCCCCATTTCATCCCCCCTAGCGTTTCACCATAAATCCACACCTTCACCTGCTCATTCTATTCTTCCCCTCTATCTCCAAAGTCTCCGCACTGACACCCCTTGACACCCCTCAATCAAACACAGATCAACCGGGGCATCAGGTCATCCATGCATAAGCGTGTCGGGAAACGGGGCTTTTCAACGCCGTCCCAAACGGACGGATTGACAGGTACGATCGTTATGCTGCTATGGCACGGTGGCGCCGTTTGTCTCACGTCGATTGAAACAAGACAACTGGATTCTCGACTGTCTCTCTCAAGCGGGGGACATTCGACCTGTCACTTTTGGTTTCGGTCTTTCATTGTGGGAACGGGACTGACAGATTCGAGGAGGTTAGTCGGTGGCGTTATATATAACACACACTCGGAGCACTCCGTACCTATATCCGAATAATGAATGTCTTGTAATATATTAACTGTTGGTGTAAACTGAACGGCCTGATATAGCCTTACACTGGCCATATATAACCAACTGTTGGATTGGCTTATGTCCTGTCATCTACCAAGTCCTTTCTAGAAGAGCCCCCGTTTCAACGGTTCACCCGTGAGAGTCGCATACACTGGATAGTCGATTTGGGTGTTTTCATCATTTGCACTGAACCTGCTACGGACAGTGTCAACGGTGTGAGCCACTCCAAATGACGTTCTGGAGAGGTTAGTGGTAAGCTTGATATTTATTTAGTATAAGCTCCTCAGTACGGCGGGCTACTTTAATCAAAAAGATATATTCTGTATTGTGGAATATCTATTTCCTTTAGTGTCTTATAACTTGATAAGCAAACGCGAAAGGACCGAAGAAGCCTGGTCGTACTTCGAGTGGTCATACATCCTCGAATTGCAAATCGACAGCGAGGGTCCGTCTCTAGATGAATGTCCTCCGATATCCACGACGACAACCGGAAGGTTAACTGTTGACAAAAACCATGATCATGACACTTGTGTGCTCTGCAAGTAACCTGTCACCAATCCCTCCGAGAAAGATCCCTGGTATTACCGTGGATGTTTCCATGTAGGCACTGCCTTTTTTTCATTTACATGCTTGGAAAAGAGTGATACATATCCCATTGCTGGAGGTGGGAGAAAACCCGCAGAGACGGTGCGGTTGTATATTCGGGTGTAAATCCCAGTAAGCTTCAACACTACTCGCATAGACGAAATCGTAAGATAGACAAGACAACCACCCAATAATGAAACCAAGTCAAGCATCACCTTCAGCATGGTGCCTCCTCCACAGTCTGCGGAAAGCGGTCTCCTGCTGCAACAGTTGCTCCGGGTCTCCCAGCTCCACCAGCCGTCCCTGTTCCAGGACGGCAATCTGATCAAATCGGCGGATTGTCCATAGCTGGTGTGCAATGACCAGAACAGTCCGACTGACAAACCTCGTGTTGATAATCTCCATCACACGCGCTGCCGTGTCGGGGTCCACATTCGCGGTGACTTCGTCGAAAACGACAATCGGAGCCTCGCTGAGGAGCACCCGTGCGAGACAAAAGAGCTGCTGCTGCCCACGGGACAAGGCCAGGGAGTCCGCACTTGCGTCCAGGCCGCCTCGGGCTGAGACGGTGGGCCAGAGGTGGACCTCCTCGAACGCGGAGATAATGGCTTCCTCCGCGTACTGCGAGAATGGATCCATGTTACTGCGGATGGACCCCGGCAGGATGAGGATGAGTGGATCTTGAGGCATCGCGGTGATGGCACGGCGGCGAAGGGCGTTCAACAACCCGGAGGTTACCGATAACAGCATTCATCTCAAACCATCCTTCATGGCTAGGGGAATTTCGAACGGTATCAGAAGAGGTGCGATTGTATAAAACTGGCGATCTGGTACAGTATTCTAGCGACGGCTCTCTTCGATTTATCGGTCGAAAAGACACGCAAGTCAAAGTCCGTGGCCAGCGCGTGGAGCTAGGCGAAATCGAGACTGCCATCAACCGGGCTCTGCCTGGAACACTCGGCGTTGCAGTTGAGCTTGTCAAGGGCCCTTCGACTGGAGAGAATGGCAACCTGGTTGCATTCATCGCTTTGGGCGGTTCCCAGGGCGAATTGGTCCATCATCGCAATTGTGCCGGCAATACGACCTTCATTATCCCGAGCCCGGATATGCAGACCGTGATATCTCAGTTGAAACAAAGCCCGTCAAAACACATACCAAGTTACATGATCCCGACGCGGTACCTCATCCTTCATGAATTGCCAGTCACTCGGAGCCAGAAAGTTGATCGCCAACTATTACGCGGTCACGCATTGGCCCTTTCTCCTGAAGAACTGGACCTGTATTCCTCGGTGGGATCGCCTGAAAAAAGGCCACCATTCAATGGTCGGGAGGTCATGGTTCGCCAGATTTGCGCAGGTGTGCTGCACCGGACAGCCGATTCACTAGGTATGGATGATTCGTTCTTTGATGTAGGGGGCGATTCAATCGTTGCTTTAAGTCTTGTCCATGAGGCTCGCAAGAACGGGGTCAACTTCACTGTTTCTGACATCTTTACGTACCCACGTTTATCCGACCTGGCCGCCGTTTCCGCCCGAAACAGTGCACCGAAGGGCAGCAGTCTTTCCAAAAAGGAGGGCAAATTAGACCCGTACCTGCTCCTTGAGAATCCCAACGACTTGTCAAATGCTCTGGCTGGGTTTGGCTTGTCGACAGATGCCGTACACCTGATTCTCCCCGCTACGGACGGTCAAGTCATGCGATTGCACGAGCAATTCCACCATTTTACCTTCGAGCTCTCCGGAGCCCTTGACTCTGATCGACTGGAAATTGCATGCCGCACCTTACTCAGGCGCCACGAAATACTGCGAACCATCTTCCATCGCATAAATGGCACGTTGTGTCAAATTATACTCCAGGACTTGGATTTCTCGCTGGCCCGTCGAGAAACCAGTAACCTGGATACCCAAATCGACGGCATCTGCCATGAAGACGATATCCCGCCTCCGGCACTAGAGATCCCGATCACAAAGTTCACGCTTGTCCGGGAATCACCAGATCGGCACACCCTGATTATGAGGCTCTCGCATGCGCAGTACGACGGGTTCTCGATAGAATTGCTCGTCCAGGAGTTGAAGTCACTTTACGTCGGTCAGACCCTGCCCGATACCACAGCATTTTCGGATCATGTCCATGAAAGTATGCACCAGAAGATAAGCCCTGATGCACGAAGCTTTTGGAGAGCGCGTCTGGAAGGGTCTTCAATCAGCCATCTCGGCCGTCGCGGTCCGGGCGACAATGTCATTATGTGCCAGGAAGAGCATGGAATCACAGCAGTAAGTCGCACGGTGACTAGTCCATCGGTCCAAGGTATTACGGCTGCGACTATCGTCAATGCAGCTTGGAGTCTTGTCCTTTCTCAGCGGACAAATCGACTGGACGTGTTATTCGGCATCGCCACCAACGGCCAGAACGGCTACTCCTCGCGAGGCGGGAACCTCATCGGCCTCTGCATGAACCAGATGCCCATGAGGGTGAGGCTCGACCACTCCGAGACCTTCCAGGGCCTGCTTGAAACAGTTCAGCGCCAATACATCCAGGCCATGCCGTTCGAGCTCGTCGAGCTGTCGGACATCGCCCAAATCTGCGATCTCTCCCAGGCTACAGACGACAAGGTCGAGTTCGGCTCTGTGGTGGTGGTGCAGAACGCCAACGTCAACACCGACGCGCCCTTTTCCTTTGGTGATGCGCAGTGCATCCGCGGGCACGTTATAAGTCGCACCTTCCTAACATTGTTGCCCTCATAACATGCTTTTTTCCTTTTTCTTTTCTTTTTCTTTTTTTTTTTACTTTGATCTGGCTTCATGTGCTTCATTTGTTGTTGAATGTAATAGAGTCAGAATACTAAATCCAGCTGAATGATTTGACTGATTGTCGAATACCACATGTTTCTATTCTACAAAATAGCATTACCCCCCCCCCCCCAAAACAACGGCCAGATGCTTTTCTACAAGTTTTTTTTTTTCTTTTTACAACGTAGAAAATGGGATGTCTTGACAAATCTCCTAGAATTAGATACCACCTGTACCTTATAATCATGGTGTGGATTCGACCATCATATCTCTATCGATTAAATTCAGTAATCTATCTAGCTGTGCCACCACCCGCATGGCGATATTTTTTCCACCTGCCTCCCTCAATAGTCCTCTCTGGACGCAGGGGTGCCCCTCCGAGGAGAGTCATTGAAACACATAGACCATCCCCGCTCGGTCCACACTAACAACCATCCCATACGGCACCCGCAGCACGGCAACGTCCTGGATGAAGTCCAGGTGGCTTTTCAGCAACTGCTGCTGCTGCAGACTGATGACCGTACTGCGAGGCAGTCGCCCGCCGCCGCCCCCCTTTCGATTATTCCCGCCCTTGCTCGCCGCGGAAGACGGCGGAGGGCCAGGAATATGCTCGGTCGTCACCACGAGCGACCCCCTAGGCTGAGACATGTCATAACGCGGCTTTCCCGTTGCCCCACCGTCCGAGACAACGTCCAGCCCGCTGACAATAGTCGACAGCTCCGGGCGCGCCAGGTCCCAGAAGCGGATCTTGCGGTCGCAGCCCCCAGAGATGATGTACCCGCAACGCGTGGTGCCGCTGCTGTCCCTGCCGTCGTCGGGGCTGTCGAACCCAACCGTAAAAGTGCAGATACCTGCCGGCGCAGCGCCCGCAGCTGACGGCCCGGACGCCTGGTCGACGGCGCCGGGGGCCGCGGGGCTCTCCGTCGCGAACCGACTCAGCATGCCTTCGGGGCGGTCGCCCTCCACATGCCAGGCGGCGTACTCCTTGGCGGTTGCGTAGGCGTTTTTCGCCGGGCTGTCCTCCGCGCCGCCTGAATCGGCCACGTAGGCCTCGCGACAGAGGACCTTCTCGATGTCCCAGACGGTGACTTCGTTGCCGTGCTTGCCGCTACCTGAGACGCAGACCCATCGCCCGCGTCCCTTGGTTGGATGGACTTGCAGGCGCTGGATGGTGCTTGAGCCCGGGAGACCCCAGGCCTTGAGACGGACGCGGAAGCGCAGGTCCCAGAGGTCGAGGATGCCGTGTGTGGTACCGATCAGCAGCCAGTTGTGCTTCCGGTCGCAGCAGAAGGTGGTGGGCGTGCCGTGGTGGACCGGGTTTTGCAAGGTGTACGCCGGGAGCATGGTTTTCATGTCCAGCGCCACCACGCGGCAGGTATTGGTCACGATGAGAAGCGTCGATTGGGCATCCACGCGGAAGTGCTCCATCCAGACGGCGTACTCCGCCGATCCGTCGTCGGCCAGTGGAAGTTGGTACTCGCGTACAAGTTGCAGTTTCCCGTATCGGACCGTGTCGTTGACGTTGTGGTAATCGACCTTCACGGCGTGGATACTCCCGTCGTCGGCACCGCTGACGAACGTGTAGGTGTTTTCAATAAAGGTCAGGGTTTTCACCTTGGCCTCTGTGGAATGACGGTATGTCTGACGTGATCTGGGTGTCAAGTTTCTCTCCAGCCGCGTTGTATCCCAGACCTTGACGGTGCCATCGTCGGATCCCGTGACGAAAAAGGAGTGGTCTGGGGCCACGACGACTCGGTTCACCGGCCCGCGGTGCTCTCCGAAGATGGCAACAAGGCCTCCCGTCGGCTTCCAGACCTTATTTGCATCGTCTTCGCTAGCTTTCTTGATTGGTCGTCTAGTGTCGATGTCTTTAACATAGGGCCCGAGATCAAAGAAATCAGTAGGGTAATTTTCTGCGAACACGGAATCCAGCAGCCGAAGAACTACAGGATCATCTCCTCCGTAGGAATGGTTGGCGTGGTATTGAGGCGGGCTCGCTTTTCTGTCAAGCGTACTTGGCTGGGCAGACGGCTGAGGGCTTTGCGTTGCTTCGCGCTGAGAGGGGATATCCACTTTGCCAAACGCGTTAGCAGCACTGGTACTTGTTTCTGCATCAGCCTTGGCGATGTCCTTCCGGTTAAGTAGGCTCATAGCGCTGGACTTTCTATGTACTCCACTGCTCAGGAACTTTATTGTGGGATTTTCGGGGTCTGTTGGTGTTGACGGGCTCTCCTGAGCGGGACTGTTCCCACCAGGTGAAAGTCTGCGTTCAGCATCGGAGCCAGGTGGTGATAATGGTCTTGATCCAGGGACCGCGCTTGGGGAAGACGCCACCGGTGAAGATGTAGCTGACTGTTCCGCTCGAAGAGTATCCACGGTATTCAACCTTGGAGGGACCGTAGAAGCGTCCGACTCTTTCGGTAATTGACTTCTGGTCCTCTGATGTTTGCGACGAGTGTTCCCGTTCTCGATCGTTGTCGAGGCATCAAGCAGTGCGTCAGCGATGGTGTGTGGCTTGCGCTCCCTAGGCTCGCCTTTACTGACGGACGACTTCCGTGGCTTGATGTTTTGATTCTTGTCAAAGAAGACGGTTTGCGGGGTGACTCCCTGCTGCGTCAAAGCGATGATGTTATTGAGGGAAGACGTCGCATTTTCACCATCTGCCGTTTGACGCGCAGAAACTCTCCAAATGTACTCTCGGAGAGCGAGTAGCTTGAAATCATCGTCGGGAACCATTCCCATGTTCCGTAAACGTGTAATCCACTGCTCATCTTCCTCGGTTTTAGCCTGGGCACTAAGAGAAGTGTTTGTGCCTTTCTGGCCTCCTTTGGAGGGACCGCCGTTCCCGCCAAGATTGGACATTCCATCCCGCATGGCCGACTTCCAGAACAAGCCTTTCTCCGCCTTAGAAGCCCATACGAACGCCAATTCATATACGCCTCTGGAGAGAGGTTTCTTCAGAGCATCGAGGATTTCCTCCTCGGTGAAATTCAAAATATTCACCTTGAGGAAGGGTCGAATAAGAGGGGAAAGTATCGAGAATTTATCAGCCACTGATAAGAACTTCGTTGAGCTGACCACTAGATTCACCGCTGCTTCACGGATCCAAATGTTGGGATGGACAAGGAACCGCACTGTGATGTGAAGGATGTCCCAAGTCGTTGATCGCTGGAGCAGACCCAGATCACCCATGGAGGCAAGGGACCGAAGCACTCTTTCCACGACGAATTCTTCGGGATCAGTCATTGACTGGACCATGAGGGGCAGAATGTACTGCTCCAAACTTGTAGATCCAACATAGGCTGCAACCCCAACGACAGCCTCGAAGAAGGCACACTTCAGGATCCAATCCCGATCATTCAAGTATGTGTTCAAGTGACTCAGGATAACCTCGTTTGTCTTGATGTTCCCGAAGAACACGCATAAACTCGATACCGACCCGAGAAAAGCACGACGTACAGAAGCATCACTGTCAGTCAACAGGGCCTTCGTATGGGCTTCGAAATAGTCCAGAAGGTCCACCCTAGCGACATCGTAGAGGTTGTGGTAGGTGGCATCTTCAGTCCATCTTGGCTCCGATCCAGCCGGTATCAAAGTCGGTAGCCGAGTATCAGTGCGGAGTGCTTGGATCAAATCCAAGAATCTCAGCGAAGATTGGGCGAGAGAGGCGATACACGACGCATAGGCCGCGCGAACAAGTGGGGAGGGGCTTGAGTTGGCGCTGGGGACAAAGGGCTGGATTCTTGGGAATATGTATTCCGAAAAGAGATAGGCATTGACAGGTGATACCACCTGAACCATTTCTAGAAGCTGCGCAAGGGCTCGTATGGCAGCAACTCGCACCGAATCTGTCCGATCATTGAGAAGCACCATGATGTAAGGGAGAATGCGGTCCAGCTTGTCTTCGTCCGACAATCTTTCGGCAAATGCCAAAAGAACATCACAAGCCTTCACGCGCACCGAAGACTTGGACGTATTGCGTAAGCTCGATACAACCAGCGTAAGGAAAATCAACACGCCATCGTCGAGCGGAAGCTGCGACTTGGAGTTTGGGTTCCCATAGTGCGGCAGGTCAAGTTGCACCGGCAAAGTATTACCGGTGAGCGTCGGGGTGGTGCGACTAGAGCCATCTTCCTTAGGCTGGGGGGTTGCGCCGAGGAAGTAAGATATCTTGTCGAAATCCAAAAAAATCCTCTCAATCCGATCATCAGCCTCCCCCCGGTTTGCAGACGCAGCATCGACTTGCGTTTTCCCAGAGGACGGGTCTGTCATGAGCGACATGTACTGGTGAAGAAAGCTGTAAAAGTAGTCCGGGAAAGCCTTGTTCTTCCAGAAATTCAAATATTCTTCCGCCGAATATCTCGACTCCGGTTCAAGCTGGATCATGTGAAGGATCAAAGCTCGGATCTCGGGGTCCTCGACCTTGGCCAGAGTATGTTCTGGACTGTATTCGCCTTGGCGGTATTTATACATTTGATGCAGCGTGAATATTGGCGACTCTAGGAAGAGTTCTGCAATCACACATCCAGCGCTAAATATGTCCATGGCCCAGTTGACACTCTGACTCGCCGGCTTATCTCCAGCCATCAGAAATCTCTCCGGGGCCAGATAGCAGGTTCGTCGCCCCGATGCGTCAAAATAGAAATGAAAATCGGCTGGGTTGTCTTCGGGAAGATACGTCGGCTTGAAAGACGACGAAAAGTCCGAGAGATACACCCAATTCCACGACGTAACCAAGACACTCTCTGTCTTGATATCGCCGTGGAAAACATCCAACGAATGGCAGTCCCGCAGAGCGCACAGAAGCTGGAATGCAATCCATTTCTTCTCAATGTCCTCTGGGAACGGACGGGTACTGTTTCCGTCAGACTTGTCACAATGACCAGGATACACACGACATACCTCATCCTATCATAGAGCGAACTATGCATGTATTGGCGGACCAGATACCCGCAGATGCTGGTCTCCAATATTCTATGATAGCTTAGCGCATTAGGCACATCCGACAGCAGCTTGCGTTCCC